CCCCCCCCCCCTTAGATCCGCCCCTGGTGAGGTGTGCCCTCATGCTGCTGCACAGTGCCTGTTGGCTTTCGCTGTTTCCAGCTGTTTCCATAGCTGCTGCCTTTTGTATGCTTTCAGGCCCAGGTGATCCATCCATCCCATTCTGTATCTCCCTCCTGCCATGGGTGGTAGGTTCATCACAGCTTGGTAGCATTCTTCTTGAAAATATGTGGGTGGAGAAGGCAGTAGCATCAAGCTCCTGGCTGAGGAAAGTTGGATACTACTCTTGGCTCATTACATCCACCAGGAAGGTGCCCCAGACTCAGACTCAGACTCTTGCAAACATTATTTTTGATCATATGCCTTATACTGCAGGAGCGCGGGACCACCGATGTGCGGTAGGCCAGCCCATGAAAAACACTTCGGCACATCGTTGACGCGTAAACATCATTCCTTCCTAAGTTTTGGAGTAGCATGACTATATGCTTGTGACTGAAAACGACGTGTACACCCTGTTCCAGTCTCCATTGCAGCAGCACTATCCCCATATTCCTTTGGTGCCCAAACAACAGGGGAGTACCCCTTTAGCTGTTTATCACCCCTGAATGCTCCATGAACGTCCTATTTCGTGTGTACTGGTCTTCTCAGGATGCGTAGATTTTCACAAACGCCTGATTTCGGGCATTCATAGTCAACCATGCCAATTCCATTGCACAGTGCTATAGATCAGTATTGTCTTGGACATTTGTGAAATATCGGTCGCATTCATCTTTGCTCTTTAGCCCCTGCATGAGGTTTGGAAAGCTTGCGACTTCATGCTTTGACATCTCCATGACAATATGACATTCCAATGCAGATTGGCGCAGCATAGTCTGCAAACCGAAAGCATCATAGCATGGGAGTGAGCGGTGCTTCCCACCAACAGGGCATCTCTATTTGACGCCGGTGGACGCCGCGCCCGATCATGCTGTCCGTCCGGCTCGTGACCGCCGACCACGCGATGGCCGAGCCGGCGCACGGCTGGGACGCCACCTACTCCGAGTTCCGCGGCCGCCGCGTCACCGCCGTGCCCGTCATCCGCGTGTTCGGCGCCACGCCGGACGGCACCAAGGCGTGCATGCATGTGCACGGCGTGCTGCCGTACTTCTACGTGCCGTTCGACGGCGCCAGCGCGGCGGCGAGCGCGGCGCACCAGCTGGCGGCCGGCCTGGACCGGGCGCTGGCGCTGGCCGCCGGCGGCCGCCAGACGGCGCCACTACACGTCCACAAGGTGGCGCTGGTGGCTGGCATGTAAGTAAGCTCGGACAGGCGCCGGTCGGCCGCGCCTTATCGCTTTCTTCCGGTTATGTTGCTGTCTTCGCCTCGTTTGTCCTTTCGTTTCCTCGAGTCCGTGTGACACTTTGCTCTGCTCTCCGAGTTTCCTCATTTATTTTTTTCTTCTGTCTTCCCTGCTCGTCTCGCGTCTTCCATTCTGACATTTTCATTTTCCATTGGCCTCTACTCATGTCCTCTACTCTATTCTCCGTCCCCCTTTCCTCCTCTTCGTACTCTCGTTTCACCCCTACGCTGTGCTTTGTGGGATTTCCAGGAAAATGGTTCCAACTCAGACCTATAAACTCAACTTTTGTCATTTGTCCGCTCTTCCTGCTGGAGAAGAGGGGTTGGGGCAGGCGACGCCAAATAGCCTCAACAGCCGAGTGCATCATGAAGTCCAATGACGACGACTACGGCTTTTCTCATTTTCTTGAATTGGTCTGAGTGATGGCAGGTTGTGCCTGTTACCTTTTAAGATTACTTTGCAATGTCTTGAACAGATGTTCAATTTCCCAGTTTCAAGCTGAGTTAAAGTGTGGTGGTGGTCCAACTGCTCATGTGTTCTGTTGGCCGTTGTGGGACATATATGCTGATATGTGTTGTTTTCTCTCAGACCATACTATGGATATCACAAGAAAAGTCATTTGTTCTTCAAAGTTTTCCTTTACAACCCAAGGATGGTTTCAAAAGCTGCGGAACTTCTTCAGGTATATAGAGATGTGAGATTTTCCACACCATAGAATTAAACTTTTTATGGAACGTCGTGTGGTTGACTGTTCTCAGGTATGCGCGTCGTCTGCAAACGCATTTCCCGTGATCAACCATGACGCTGCGGTGGTACTCTTATACGGTTTTCTTTTTACGCGTGTGGTCATGTGGATCTGCACAATGACTGTTGTTTTCTATCTCCACCGGCCGTACGCCATCACTAGCGGGCAGGGAACCGATTGACGTGTGTTTATCGTGTTCACAGAGCGGTGCCGTTATGCACCGGTCGTTCCAGCCGCACGAGGTGCACATCCCGTACCTGCTGCAGTTCCTCATCGACTTCAACCTGCAGGGGATGAACCTGCTGCACGTGTCCTCTCACAGGGCTCGCACCGAGGCGGGTGAGTGTGCGGCGCCGCCCAGCTCCACCGGCCTGTCCCAGCCGCCGCCTCTGACCGTGTGCCGGGCCCGCCGCGCTGTGCCTCCCCGGCCTGCTCTGAGCGCGCGCTCGTCCGCAGGGACGGAGGCCTCCGGAGGGTCGGGACTGGCCGCCGTTAGCAGCTGCCAGCTGGAAGTGGACGTGCACGCCTCCCACATCCTGAACCGAACCCAGCTGGCGACGGGTGAGCTGTCAGCTGCCGGCCGTCTGGCTTGGGTGACGTCCGGTCCAGGGGGTGCCGGCCATTGCAGCCGGCAGCCGGTGATCAGGCGGCACGGCATGGCCACGCTGCGGGCTGAAGTGTGGGTCACGCGATGAAATACCAGGGCACAAAGGGCGCCTACATCGCAGCCATAGTTTCCATTTGGCGATGTAGTGTTTCTCTTTGGAGGTGCATCGTTGCGTTACCTTATGTGGACGAAAGCGGCTGGCTCGGCCGATGGGCGCACTGCAGCTCTGTTGAACCCGTGCTGGCGCCCGGCGATGGGCGCTGGCCGGCGACGTCACCCTGCGTCCCGTGGCGCGGCAGAGTCGGGGCTGGGCGCCGGCAACCCGGGCCTGGCGGCCATCTGGCGGGAGGAGAGGGCGCGGCGGCGGCAGGCGGGGGACGGCCGCGACTCGCAGCCGACGCCCGAGCCGCCGGACGGCCGCACCGCCCGCCGGCAGCCCGGCGAGGTTGCCGCCCTGGCCGCGATAGCGGCGCGGCTCGCCGACCAGTCCCAGGTGAGCTGCCCGGACTCACGGACCAGGCGGAGGTGAGCTGGCTGAGACTCACGGACCAGGCGGAGGTGAGCTGGCCCGACTCACGGACCAGGCGGAGGTGAGCTGGCTCCGACTCACGGACCAGGCGGAGGTGAGCTGGTCCGGACTCACGGACCAGGCGGAGGTGAGCTGGCCGACTCACGGACCAGGCGGAGGTGAGCTGGCTGAGACTCACGGACCAGGCGGAGGTGGGCTGGCCTGGACTCAGATTGTTGTTCGGCCAGCTGTCGGACCGCCATGGTCGCTTGGGCCGCAGGCAGCAGTGGGGTTACCTCCAACGTCAATCTCAGGTAACCTGGGTTCCGCTCTCAGCTATCAGGGCGAGATCGTCTCGTAGCGAGCTTCTCCGCATACTTTTCGTTATGTTTTCGTCATCACAGCCGTGGTGGGGTCGATGTCTTTGAACTATTCACGCGACTCACGGTGGCGACAACAGGTGGCGACTCAGGAGGACGCCGGAAGTGAGCTCGAAATAGCGTACGTACCACTGCTCTCACGCGTTTCCTTCTCCTCGCCCTTGCGCCGCCTCACTACCGTTTCCTCCGTCTGCCGTGCCCCGCGCACCGACCGCGGGTCTGTCGTGCCGCCGCCTCAGTTGCACCGCCGGCCGCCAGGTGGAGTCGAGCTCGGCCGGCGCTGGCTCGCAGCTGGACGCGTCGCTGGCGGCCGAGTGCGCCGACGAGTCGGCTTGCCAGCCGGCCAGCTCGCTCGACCTGCCGCCGCTCACGCCGGCGGCCGCCCGATCCCCACACACCTCGCCGCCGCCGTCGCCGCCGCCGCTCGACGACGCCAACGTGGATGAGCGACTGTCCTGGAGCTCTCGCAGCGCGCCGACTCGTCCCTGCCGCGTGAGTACCGCCGCGGCTGCGTGGCCTGCGGTACAATGTGTACTGCTGGCCTGGCTTGAGGTCGTATAGGGACGAATGTAGCGTGCTATTGCTCATATCGTGTATTGTGGGTTGTTCTCCGGTGGTGTTCTCTGGGACTACATCTGTCGGGGTGTGGTATCTCGCGGAGTGCAGGGTGGTGCCGCAGTGTGACACCGTGTCATGCAGTGTAGCGTGAACAGCCCTGCCGACATAGCGTCTGGTTTGCGGTGAAACCGTTGCCACGTAATGCGATGCGGTGCAGCGCGTTGGCAGTGTCGCCCTCGGCGCTAGACTCGCAGCCCTGTTGCGTTACGGTGGTGCGGCGCGGTTCAGCAGCGCGGCGTGGCAACGATCTCGTGACGCGATGTGGCGCGGCCTCGTGACGCGGTGTGGCGCGGCCTCGTGACATGGTGTGGCACGGTCTCGTGACCCGGTGTGGTGCAATCTCGTGACGGAGTGTGGGGCTGTCTCGTGACGTGCGTGTCACGGTCTCGTGACGCGCCGTGGCGCGGTTCTCGTGACCGGTGTGGCGCGTGAGGTGCGGGGCGCGGTGCCCTGTTGCAGTTGACTCGCAGGACGACGCGCTGGCGGCGGCGCTGCTCTGCCTGATGTCGCCGGGCGAGGAGCGTCCGCCGGCCGAGGAGGCGGCCGACCGGGAGGCGCAAGAACGCCGCCGACGAGCTGGAGATGTCACAGGTGGTTCTGGTCACAGCACAGCGACCCCCAGCGGCCCTGGTGAGCTCACGGGCCGCTCCGTCCCTGCTGGGAACGGTCCGAAGGCTTTGCTACACGGCTCGACGACAGCTGGCTCTGGTGAAATGGTGCACTCGTAATCAGACCGTCACGCGCGACAAACCAGTGCAGTTGACGCGCCGCTAAAACCCAGGAGCTAATGATATGGTCGTAATGCTGGAGATAAGTTTACTGCCAGCTCTCAGTTTTCATTGTGCTGTTTCTCTTAGTACGGTGACTGGCTGACATATTCTAATACTTCGTTTGGTCCACTGTGCACGTCGCTTGTGCATGAGTCCGAAATGACCTCAGTGGTCGGCGCACGCTAAAACCCAGGTCATCATTTGTGCAGGTCGGGAGCGGACAGTCCAGAGCCAGGCGGCGACAGGGCCAGCCCAGAGCCAGGCGGCGACAGGGCCAGCCCAGAGCCAGGCGGCGACAGGGCCAGCCCAGAGCCAGGCGGCGACAGGGCCAGCCCAGAGCCAGGCGGCGACAGGACCAGCCCAGAGCCAGGCGGCGGCAGAGCCAACCCAGAGCCAGGCGGTGACGGTCGTGAGCCGGAGGCCGAAGACACAGAGTTCAGCCCACAGTCTTCCGCGGCTGATCAGGGGAACAGCTCATCTGTCGGCCAGGCTCCGGCCTGACGGTTCCTCAGGTGAACAGCGCGTTCGGTGCTGCGCTGGTCACCAGTGATTGCCACGTTGATATGTTGTGCATCTATGATATCCGAATGGCCGGGAGCTGATCATGGCTGGTGCTACAATGTAATCAGTGTTTGAACTCCGAGTCCCTGTGTGTGTGTGTGGTGTGCGTGCGTGCGTTGCGTGCGTGCGTGCGTGTGTGCGTGCATGCGTGCCTGCGTGCGTGCGTGCGTGCGTGGCGTGAGTGCCTCTGACAAGCACAGTCTAACGTGGTCCAGACTCAGCGGCTCCATCAGATCCGTCTACGAAGATATACCGGTGACCCAGCTGGGTGAGGGTGACCCAGCTCACGTGATGCCCCGTGTACCCAGGTGGACCGGCGTCGGTGACGACGAGCCGCGGGCCCCGCATCAGCGGTACCGCCGACCTGGGCACGACCGGGCGTCGCGTGGCTGTGAGCGACGCCGCCGCCGCCGCCCTGAAGCTGCCGCTGGCGGAGGGGGCGTCGGCCGCCGCGCGGGGAGCGTGCGGTGACGGCCGTGGAGAGCACGGCGTACCGGCGCCGAGCCCGCTGAGAAGACAGCTGCCGGTGCCGGGCGCCGACGGACCCTCTGCGGCGAGCAGCTGGCTGGCGCCGCCGCCGCCGCCGCCGCCGCCGCCGCCGCCGTCGGAGGTGGTGACCGAGCGGGGCCGTTCGCGGAGGGCGCGGTGGGCGCGGTGGGCGCGGGCGCGCGGAGTGGTGGCCCGGCTTCGGCACGCTCGGGCGTGTTTGGTGGTGGGGGCGGCGGTCGGCTGCCGTCGGCGGCCGTCGCGAGTGAGCGGGGCGAGGGTCCGTCCCGGCCGCGCTCGGGCACGGGTGTGCAAGGTGAAGGCTCCTCACCGTCGTCTCCTGATCGTAATGCACTGGGTAAAGACTCTCCGTCAGTACTTGCGGGCTCTACCATATCGGGCGGATGCTTGCCTTCTCTCGACAATAAGCTGATTGAGGAAAAGTGCCGGGGGGGAGCAACTGCGGCTCGGCCGCCGTCTAGCAGCGTCCGAGGAGCCTCGTCACGAGAGGACGACTGGTGGCCGAGACGCTTCTCAGGCTGTTCTTCAGGGCCTAAATGAAGCTGGGGAGCTGCGCCCCGACACGGCTGCTGCGGGCGTGTCGCTCTGTGCGCCTCGCGAGGGTGAGGATCCTCGGCGGCGCGGGTCGAACGCCCAGTGCCGGCAGTCCGCTGGCGCTGCTGATTTGGAGTGGGAGTTTGATGGCGTGCTGTGTAGGCCTGACAGTGGGGGTGGCGCAGGTCGCCGTCCCCGTGGCAGTCGCTCCTCATCTGTGTCGGAGGTGGGGCCGCCCGCTCTGGCGGATCTGCACGCCAACCTCCCGGCCGTAGACGAGACACCCTCAAACCACACTGCGCCCGCCCGTTCCGGCCGACCTCCGAAGAAGAGACGCCGCTTTCTTCTGTCGACGAGGAGGCGCAAGCGCGGAACATCTCTGAGCCGTGCGTCAGACGCCGCGAGCGAAACCGCCACCGTCGAGGTGGTGGACCTGGGCGTGGCGTGGCTGGCGCTGGCCGGCGGCATGTGCGAGGCCGACGTGTGGCGGGCGGTCGGAGCTAGGGTGTTGCTGACCCCGGCCGACCGGGCGGCGGCCGACCGGCTCCGACGGACGCCGCAGCTCGCCAGCCCCTCTGGCGACCCGGCGCAGGCCACGGGCGAGCGACGGCCCTGTGCTGAAGGTGCTCCCCTCGTTGATTGTCTGGATTGGAAGAATTCTCGCGACGTGAAGGCAATTTTTGATGCTGGTTTGACACGGAAATCTCGGGAAAGTGCAGGCGACTCCGAAGAGAAACTTCAAATGCAGTTATCAATATCTCGCGCGGTGATAGAGACCAGAAGAGACCGGAAGGATTGCACGGGACTTCTCGTGCGGCATTGGGCTCAAAACGTCCGAATGTATATGACTGCGACGTAACTCCAGAGGTGGTCTGCGCCTCAGAACTTCAGGGAAGTACAAAGTCTACGCAGCGAGTGTTCATCACACTCAAAACGACGTCTCACGCGCGGATTTAAACCCCGTCGTTGTGTTAAAAAGACTCAACGTGAACGCCCTGCCGGTCCTCCCGAAGACAGCGGGCACGAACGACGAAGAAGAAGCTCCCAGTGCCGAGCCGGTGACGCCCCTGGCTCCCGCAGTCCCGACCCCGCGTGAGGCTCCGGATCCGAAGCCGATGGAACAAGCTAAGCCTGACGCGTCGGCGGGCGGCGGGCGGCAGCCCCTCGAAAACCCGCAAGGTGCCGCTGATGATTCCACCTGTCGCCGCAGAAGCGTCCCGCCGCCAGGGCGCTGGCCAGCGACGAGCCGTGGCCACGCAAGAGGGCTCGGGTCAGGGTGACGCCCCGCCGCGCACCCCCCAGGCAGAGCTCGCCGCACTGGAGCGGTGAGAGACGAAGGAGCGCCGAGCGGTGTGCCGGTGGGCGGCGGGTCCCGCGCGTCGCCGGCAGGCATGAACCGGACATCGTGCTGCGCCGGCCCAAGACCAAGTTGGTCTGGGACGGCCACAACTTTGTACTGCCGCCTAGCGAGAGGGCTGCGGCGGTGGCGGGAGGCGGCGCTGAAGGTTCGGCCTCGGTCTCGACCGCGGGGGAGGGGGCCGCCGACGCGGCGCCCTCGCCGGCCCAGTCACCTTCGGCTGGGCCGACCCAACGGTCGGGATTGGGGTCACCTGAAGTGAATGTGACAGGAGGTAGACGGACTAAGGGGCGAAAAGGCAGAACAGGGTGTTCTCCAAGAAAAGCAGCAAGGAAGAGAACTGTACGTGCGAAGAGAGCATCTGGCCGTGACAGCACGGCTGAACGTCATGCGGCGCTCTTCCCTTTCAGTGCTCTGGACGAGTTTCTGCCGCAGCCGGCGACGCCTGATCATGCGCAGGATCCGGCCCTGAATCTGGCGCTGGATCTGGCGCTAGATTCGGCGCTGGATCCTGTGCTGGATCCGGTGCTGGAGCCGGTGATGGAGCTGGCACTGGATCCGACGATGGAGCTGGCGCTGGATCCGGCGCTGGATCTGGCGCTGGAGCCGGCGCTGGAACCCTTCGCAATGGAGCGCCCCTTGATCGGGTGGATGGGCAAGGAGGGTTGGTCGCCCGCCTTCGCCACCGCCGCCGCCGACCTCGCCTTCCCGTGCCGACCTGCTGTCGGACGTGAAACCGATCATCGCTCGGTCGCCGGACGCCCCAGACGCGATGCCTCTGCAGGTGGAGCTGACAGTGCTGTCCTCGCCGCGTAAGGCCGGACCGGAACCGGCCACGGCCGCCTCCGATGCACCTGCGGCCGGCCTAGTGCCGCACCTGTTCGAAGCTGAGTTGTCCGGCGGTTCGGCCGGCAGCGCGGCGACAGGCGCGCCCGGTGCGTCGTCGTCCACCTCTGAGCCGTCGGCTGAGTCGCCGCCGCGCTCGTCTGGCGCGCCGGCTGCCTGCGGTCCTCAGCCACCGGTCATCGGCGTCCCGTCCGCCGCAGGCCGGGCGCCGCGTGGCCGCCGTGCCCCCCAGCCAAGGGTCCGCCGCGTATGTTGTATGGCCTAGTGCCGCCGCCTGGCCCTCTTGGCCGCGGCCCGCCGCTGCCGAACCCCGACTTCTCATCGCCTCCAGCCTACCGCCCCGTCCTGCCGTCGGGCGGGGGAGCGCCGCGCGTCGTCGCCCCACAGCCGGCGCTGGCCGGTGATCAGCCGCCCCTCCCGCCGGTCTCCGCCACCTTTCAGGTGCGGGACCTGGAAGTGATGGTCCGACTGGGCCCGAGGCCCATGGCGTCTGTGCGCCGGCTGGGAGCGCGTACCATCGCACTAACGACAGAGGAGCTCAGAGCTGTGCGGGGCGCGTTGCAAGGGTACCTGAGCAGGCCCGGTCACACGGGTCAGGTCAGGCTGGTACCCCGGCACCGGCCGCCTATGGGCCGCCGCTGCCGCCGCGCTGGGACGCGCCAGACTGGGGCCAAGGGCTCCGCTTCGCGCCCCCGCCGGCGGACGTGGGAGGTGTGAGAGGCTTTTTGTGGAGTCAGCCCAGCAGCGGCGGTGGGCCGCAGCCGTCCGGCCCGCCTTCGGCGCCGCACGTTGCGCTCGGGACCAGGCCGCAGCCGTCGGCGGCGACTTTCGGCCAGGTGCGGACGTACGGACAGCGGCGAACCGACCCGCCACGCCCGTCCAGCCCGGTGGCGTACATGGCGGCGGACAGCACGAGCCCGGCGGTGGGCTCGCGGCCGCGGCGGCGCGCGCGACGCGTCCAACGCTCGCTTTCGCCTTCGCCCGGGCCCGAGCCCGGGCCCGGGCTCACGCCCTCGCCGGAGCGCGACAACGACGAGTCGGCCGACTACGTCTGCCGGGCGGGTGAGGCACGCTCGTCGGCGGTAGGGCTGCGGTCGGTGCGCGGCGCCAAGGTGGCGCGCGGGCGGGCGGGCCACGGACCTGGCGCCGCTGCTGGGTGCCGCCGGGCGAGCAGGCGCCAGAGCCGCGCAGGAGCGACGCCGAGCCGGCGCCACGCCGAGAGCCGGCCGGCGCCAGTCGCGACAGCGCGCCGCCGCCGGCGCAGCGGTCCGCCGGCCGCCCGTCCGGCACCGAGTCGGACGAGGAACCGGCCTCGCTGGGGCTGGGCCCGCCGCCGCCACTGCCGCGGCGGCGGCGGCCGGCGCCGCCTTCGGCCGGGCTAAGCCAGCTGCTGCTGCCGCTGCGCCGGCCGCCCGAGGACAGCATGGCGCGGCTCTCCTACCTCTCCTGCAGCAGCGGCGAGGCGGACGAACGTTCGCCGCCCCGGCCGGCCTCGCCCTCTCAGCCGGGCGCGGCGACAGGTGAGCTGGCGAGCTGCGGCGACGAACTGCCGCCGGCGTGCCTCAGCGGCTGGCGCGGTACTGTTGAGCGAGCTGGCTCTCGTGGACGGAGTGTTTCCTCGCCAGTCATGAGCATTGCTCTTTTATGTGCGTAGAACGAATGTTGTTCATTTCACATGATCCGCGGCGATTATTTCACCCCAGGCGCTACCCATGTCCGGGGAGATTCGTCTGTTACCGAGACTGGCGCTCGAGGGCCGCAGTTACGTCTGCGGATCGTCAGCACCGTTGTCTGCCGCAGGTGAGGTCGACGACGACAGCAGCCACGGTGACACTGCCAGCCCGCCGTGCGGACAAAGGCCGCTGCAGTCGCCCGAGCTCTTCGAGCCGCCTTCCCCGCCGGAGGAGGACGAGGAGGAGGTGCAGGTGCTCTCGCCACCGCCCGGCACGAACGGCGTGCCCGCGCCGAATGCGGCCGCGCTGCGCGTGCGTGCGCCACTCTCGCCGCGGCTGTCCGGGCTCGCGCAGCCCTGGCGGTTCAGTCAGGAGGGCAGTGACGGCGGCCGGCAACAAGTGACACCCGCCAACAGAGGTAGGAGATCCTATGTGGGCCGAGGTCGGGCAGCGCCGGGCCGTGGCGGGAGCATGGCGACTACCGACGCCGGCAGAGGTAGAGGGTCCGCCGCCACCGGTGGTCGGGGCCGGGCAGCGCCGGGCCGTGGGGTAGGCAATACACCCACCGGCGCCGGCAGAGGTAGACGGACCGCCGCCACCGGAGGGGGTAGAGCCCCTACCGCTGAGAGAGGGAGGAGTTCGAACCGTGGCAGATCCGGCAGATGGCTGGTCATCGGAAGTTCGGCCACGACGACCAGCCGAGGACGCGGTAGAGGCCGGGGCTCTCAGCCTCAGCCGTCCCCCGTACCGTTCCTCCCGACGATTAGCCAGATCACGTCTCTGGCGGCGCCGCCGGAGGAGGACGACGACGACCTGATCCTGCTGTTCGATAACTCGCAGCGCCCAGGCGTGGAGGTGGTGGATCTGCAGGACTCCGACGACGAGGAGGAGGGCGCCGGGAATACGGAGCGAGTGCCGTTTGTCGGCAGCCCCGGACTGGGCTCAGGGGAGGGCCCAGGTGAGGACAATTCTGAAGCGGGTACAGAAGATGATCAGGATGTCAGCCCTGAACCCGGCGATGATGATCCAGGCGGCAGTCCCGAGCAAGACTGTGAAGATGACGCAGAAGTGGGCGGTCGTACACCAGACTGTGAGGGCGATCCAGACGTCGGTCAGGAGTTGGACCCCAAGGACGATCAGGTCGTTCGCAGCCCTGAACCCGTCTTCGTGGATATCGCAGACGCCGACAGCCCCGAACTGAGCTGTGATGACATTGTCGATGTCGGTAGCCCGGAGCCAGCCTGCGCTGACGGCCAAGGTGAAGGTGCCGCTGAACCAGTCTCTGGGGACGGCCAAAATACTGCTGAACCGGTCTCTGGGGACGGCCAAAATACTGCTGAACCAGTCTCTGGGGACGGCCAAAATACCGCTGAACCAGTCTCTGGGGACGGCCAAAATACCGCTGAACCAGTCTCTGGGGACGGCCAAAATGTCGGCAGCCCTGAGCCGGCCTGTGGAGAGGACCGAGGCGCCGACAGCCCGGAGCTGGCTCGTGATCGTCGGATCGCGGGCGGCTCGCTCTTCGTTAGCAGTGCGACTCAGGCCAGCGGAGGTCGGACGAGGTCTCCGGCTATAGTGGGCTGAGCTGCCGTTTGTCTGCAGAGGCGCCAGACAGCACGGCCGGCTCTGAGCCGGTCTGTGCAGCTGCCTTGCCGTCGCAGGAGTCCTCAGAGAGCTGCAGACCGGAGCAACAGTCAGGAGAGGTCGCGGGGAGCTTCGGTCTGGCGAGCCGGCCGCAGGAGGCCGGGGAGAGCCCCGGCGTGGACCGTCGGGCAGAGGAGGCCACAGAGAGCTTCGAGCCCGGTCAACAGCCGCAGGAGGCCGGGGAGAGCCCCAGCGTGGACCGTCGGGCAGAGGAGGGCCGCAGAGAGCTTCGAGCCCGGTCAACGGCAGCAGGAGGCCGGCGAGAGCTCCGGCGTGGACCGTGCGCCGGGAGAAGTGGCGCACTGCACTCCGGACCGCCCGACGCTGGAGGAGGCGCCAGGCTCAGGCAGCGCTGATGAGTCGGCCTGGCTGCCGCTCCGCGAGAGCTGTCTGTACGACGAGTCGCTGTCGCCGCCGGACGCTCTGTTCGCCGGTGGCGGCAGCAGCCCCGCCGCTGCTCGCGAGGCGATCCAGTCTGTGTGGGGTGAGGCAGAGGCAGGCCGGTCCCTGCCTTTCGGGACGGGAGCCGTGCAGTATCCGCGGAACGGAGTGGACCCCGGCCAGGCTGGGTGTGCCCAGTCTGGTGCAGGACAGTCCCCTCACAGCCAGCCAACGCCAGGACCGTCCTCTCAAAGACAGTTAGAGATAGGCCGTTCTCCAGGCAATAAGTCGGCTTCAGTTCACCGTTCGCACATTTTTTCTTCGCCATCTCCGCAAGACAGAGTCGGGTCGGCGCAGTCGCTGCACAGCAGTCCCGAGTCGCCGCAGTCGCCCAACATCACCCCTGAGCCTCCGCGGTCCTGCAACAGCGGGGCGGAGTCGGCGCAGTCGCTACACAGCAGTCCCCGAGTCACCGCAGTCGTCCAGCATCAACCCTGAGTCCTCCGCGGCCCTGCCACAGCAGAGCGGAGTCGGCGCCGTCGCTACGCAGCAGTCCCGGGTCACCGCAGTCGTCTAGTATCAACCCTGAGTCTTCGTGGCCCTGCCACAGCAGGGCGGAGTCGGCGCCGTCGCTGCACAGCCCACAGAGCTGCGTGGACGGCGCGAAAGACAGGCGGCGCCCAGAGCAGTCCCGGCGCACCAGTCACGATCTCGGAGGAGCCCTCGCGAGCACGCTCGGGTCAGCCGGCGGTCTCGGGGAGCGGTGTGAGTCCGCCGAGGATGAGTACCCCCCCACTCGGGCCCGGGCAGGTGGCTTACGAGGGCCCCGAGTGCGGCCAGTCCTCGCACAGTCTGCCGGGGCCGGGTCGATCGCCGCACAGCCGGCCCGCGTTGGCCCAGATGTCGGCGCCGTCTCCGCAGCGCCGACCGCGGTCGGGTCGGCCCGAGCGGGGTGGCTCAGAGTCTCAGCAATCGCCTCTCGGGGTGCCGGAGCTGGGGCGGACACCGCGGGGCAGCCCGAGCGGCTCCGCCGGTCAGTTCGGACGGCGGTCGCCTGCCGGGGACATGATCCATGAAGGCGACTCTGCGGTTCTGACGGCGACAGGGGACGCACATTGGGACACGGCGGCAACTGCAGACGAGTTCGGCGCCGTGCCAGCCTCGTCCGGACCGTCACTCGCGCGCGAAGGCCGTCAGGTGGGAGTGGTGACAACGATGTTGACCGTCGGTAGTCCGAATCACACCTCCGACGAGTCGTGCGACATTTTCTGGAACGATTTCGAAGAGGTCCTTCAAGCGGCAGATAGCGAGCACGGAGGTCCTGTGCCGAGGCCTGGAGATCAAATCCAGCCAACATCTGGTGGGCGTCGACCGGACGGCGCGTTGGGTGTGAGCCCCCACACGGCGGGGGAGCCGCATGCGGAACACCAAGGCACGTTCGGCAGCCCGAGGAACCAGGCTGGTCCGCTGCCGGGTCACGGGCTTGTAATGGCGGCGGAGACCGGGCCCTCGTCTGTCGCTAGACGCTTAGTGGAGACTGAGCCGACAGAGGAAGATGAGGCCCTGGATGATGCTGAGCCGTCAGATGAAGTGGAACACTCAGACAAAGGTGGCCCTTCAGACGGAGGTGGCCCTCCAGACGGAGCGGGACCCTCAGACGGAGCGGGACCCTCAGACGGAGCTGGACCCTCAGACGGAGCTGGGCCCTCAGACGGAGCTGGACCCTCAGACGGAGCTGGACCCTCAGGCGGAGCTGGGCCTTCAGACGGAGCTGGATCCTCAGATGGACCGGGGCCCTCAGACGGACCTGTACGCTCAGGTGGAGCTGAATCCCCAGATGGACCTGGGCCCTCAGACGGTCCTGTACGCTCAGATGGAGCTTGGCCCTCAGACGGACCTGTACGCTCAGCTGGAACTGGGCCCTCAGACGGACCTGTATGCTCAGATGGAGCTGGATCCTCAGGTGGACCTGGGCCCTCAGACGGACCTGTACCCTCAGATGGAATTGGGCCCTCAGACGGACCTGCACTCTTAGTTGGAGCTGGATCGTCAGATGGAGCTGGGTCCTCAGACGGAACTGAACGATCAAATGGTGAGCGATCGTGTGAAGCAAGATATTCAGCCGGGGCTGGGTCGTCAGAAGGAACTGGACCCTCAGATGAAACTGTGCCACCAGAAGTCCTGCCCTCAGACGGAGCTGAACCATCAGGCGAAGAAGGGGCCTCGGGCGGAGCCGGAGATGCGCCCAGAAATGCTCCATCTGATACAGCTGAACGCTCGGTCGCGTGTGGACCGTCAGGTGGAGCGAGATTAAACGACCCGGATTTTCCGATGTCGCTTGAAGGCCCCTCCTTTCGAGAAAAGCTGACGAATGCGGAGGTAGCTGTGACGTCACACGTGGCTGGGGAGGCGGCAGCCGAGTGTAACGATCTGGGCGGTGAGAACGCAGAGATCGGACGAGCTTTTATGTCCGTTGTTCTGCTTCGTTTCTGTTTGGAGTATTTGCTTCGCCTCCATCCGGATCCCTCACACGTCCCCCAACCCACCAGCGAAGCACTGCCGGACGCGTCGAGTGGCGTCAGCCAGGCGCTTCCAGGACGGCTGGGTTGTTCGTCCAAGCCGAGTCACGCTGCAGGCACGGCGGAAGCCGGTCATGGGACAGGAGCGTCGGAGCGAGACGAGAGCGTGAGGCCGATTGAGTCGGGCTATCAGACGAGGCCATCCGACTCGGGAGGTCAGGGGCAAATCGTCTGGCCCGGGAGACCAAACGAGACCGAATGATGAGTCCGGGTACCAGACAAGGCCTTCTCCAGTGAGCGTCCGGTCCGCCGCCGGGGGACCGGCCGCTGGTCCGCTATCGGCGGACCAGCCCGGGCGCGGGGGCGGCGGTCCGTCGGCAGGCGGCGCGGACGGCGGCCGCGGCCCCGTCCGGCTGCTGCTGCCGGCGCCGCCGTCCCCGGCCGCCGTGCGGGCGTCGCTGCCGGCGGTGCCAAGCCGCGCGGTGCTGGGCGCCGGCCGCGCCGCACCGCTGGAGCCGTTCGAGGGTGTGTGCGCCGCCAGCGGGCTGCGCCACTGGCGCACGGTGGCGGCGGCCGGCGCCGCCGAGCCTGCCGACGTGACGGCGCTTGTGGCCGCGCTGGAGGAGCGCGCCACGTGCGCGCGCCTGGCCGGCCGCGGCCACTGCACTCTGACCCCGGCCCGGCCTCCGCCCAGCTGCCGCAGCGTGCGCGCCTGGCTGAGCGGCCGCCGCCGCCCCCGGCACCGCGTCGACTCGTCCAGCGACAGCGGCAGCAGCGCCAGTGAGGAGGAGCTAGAGCAGGGGCAACGCAGCGGCGGCCGGCCGGCGGTCCGACCAGCGCCAGCACCCCGTTGACGGCGGTGGCGCCCGAGTCGCTGCCGGCTTCGCTCGGTCTCACGCCCGTGACTGGCGTGCGGCGGACGGCGTCGTACGGTCGCGTGACGTCCCTGCTCACCCCCGTCAGCCGGCGGCCGGCTAAGCGACGGCGCGTGGGCCGAGCCGAGCCGTCGCCGGACGCGCGGCCTGAGACGCCTACGGGCGGGACGACCGACGGTGGACCGCGACGCTGGCTGGAGCGTATCCCAGAACGGACAGAGGCAGGGGCAGGCACCCTCTAGGGTCGGCCAGGGGGCGCCGGGTAGCGCCAGTTCGCCGTTGCCGGCGCCGGGCGGGAAGGCGCCGGACAGTCGGCCGGCCAGCTCTGAGGAGCCGCAGTCGGATGACGTGGCGGCGGTGCTGGCACGGGACCGCACCACCTTGGTCAGTCCGGCGCCGGCGCCGCGGGACCCGGCCGGCGCCTCGCCGCTGGAGCCGTCCCTGCTCGTCAGTCCGTCGTACGGCCTCCAACGGGCCAACAGCGCCGACAACACGTACGGATTCAAGCTGGACTGGGATAACCTGCAGGACGCCCAGTGTTCGCATGAGGTGAGGCGGGTGATTTAAGGTGGCCGTAATGATGTTTAGTTGGGCTGTGGTCGACCACTTGTGTTTAATTTATTTTTGGCTTGTCCTCGCCGTTGAGAGCTAATCCAATCAAAACGATGCCCATAGATAAGACGGTAGCATTAGCCGTATTCCTTGGAAAAACCAAGAGAAATGAGATATAGTTAGGTTGATATTTGGGCAACATGCCTTTCTCGAAACAAGGCAGAAGTAAATTCAAAATTGCCTGCCGACGATCCTACTCGATTTTTGAGGTTTTTTTAAACAGCGAGCCACAGTTTTTACAGAACACCATTACGCAGGGGATAAAACAAAGAGCAACTTGCCAGCCATTGCCAAGATACAGTGCCTATCTAAGGATTGGAATACCCGGACATACGTCTACATGCAAACGAATTCAAGCAAATAGGCATCTCGCAGCACACTTCATTCGAATATGCAAGCGAGCTAAACTAAACAGGCATCACAAATGGCGCACCAAGTATGCAAATAATTTCAATTTAACAGGCGGCGCACATCACGCGTCGGGCATCACTTACACATATGAACGACTAAGCTAGCACACATCACGCATAGAGGCACATATCACGTTCGCGTAATTGGCCATGATGATCCCTGTATGTTAAGATTTGGTCGCCGACTTTTTATAAGAATAGTTTCCTGTCTGGGTGGTCCTGTGCTCTGTAGATGACTTTGAGCTCTAAAAGGGGCATGGGATCCACACTTTCCTCGATTTCAGCCTGAGCGTGTTTTGCCAAGAAATGGTCACCAGAAGGGGTATTCCCTGTTTTGTTTTTAGCGTCTCGCAGGTATTCATTATATCTCAAACGAATAGCGCGCATGGACTCCCCGACATAGACTATATCCCTCCCATGTCTTTTCACATAGTTTGCACTTAATTTCGTAAACTACGTTTTTTGCGTGCAAACCCCTCGAAACCCAGAATTGCATAAGTGAGACCTGTTGCCACCCGGGCACTGAGCCTTCGAGATGGAAGATTTCACCAGATAATTTCTAAGGTTTTTGTCGTTTTTCCAAGCTCTGCGTATGTGCAGTTTTGATTTTTTAACAATGTGTTCGGTTTTCCAAAGCAAATGTTCATCTATGTAAGGTAGCGTTAAGAATCCATCTCCCGATAGGACGTGTTCGCGCCTCCTATCACCCATCCCCCCGCGCTCTGGACTTTTTTACTTTTAACATTCTACCTAAAAGCTGCGGAGAATATCCGTTGCCCAACAGCAAAGCCCATACTTTGTTTATGCTCTTTCTTTCTTTTTCACTACGTGATGAGTTCTTTAGAGCCCTATGGAACATTGTTCCGTGGGGTTCATCGGCAGGTAATCTTGAATTCACTTCTGCTGTTGTTCCAAGAAAGGCATGTTGCCGAAATATCAACCTAGCTTTATCTCCACTCTCCTGGTTTTTCCGAGGAATAAGGCTAATACTACTGTCTTATCTATGTGACTAATGTTCCTCGCTAATGCACTGAACAAGTTACGTAATTTTAAAGCCATGTCTACTGCGTGAATAAACCATTTTGGCGATTTATGACAACTTAACTTCACGCACGGGTCGTATCCTCATTTGACGATTGATGCTTTCCTAACCAACCTTTACGTTGGTTCCTTTCCACTGCGTTTCATGTCATGAACATACGAGCGCTGTTGACTCGTGTCGGTTGTGGACTAATGGGTTTGCCCTATGCGTATAGGTTCTGTTTTCGATGGATCAGTTCTGAAGCTCGTCCCGCCGCTGGCCGGCCAGCCGTGTGATGGCAGCAGACGTGACAGGCCCGTCCGTGTTTTCAGTATCAATACCTGACCTGCCTGAGCCTGGAGGTGCACGCCGTGACCCGCGGTGACCTGCTCCCTGACCCGGAGCACGATCCGGTGGCCGCCGTGTTCTACCACCTGACGGACGATGTGCCGGAGAACTGGCGACGGCCCCGTCAGGACCTCCGGTGCGGCCGCTGGCCGGGCGTGCGCCCGACAGCGCGGAGAGATGGTCTCGAATCTCGGGTCGAAGGGCCGGGCCCGAGCTGGGTCCGTTGCAGCAGGGCTCCAGGACGCCTTCTGGCCTGGAGGACCCTGTGGCCCCGCTCCGTTGGTCAGGCGAAGGGTGTTCAATGTTTAGAGGTGTGGACCTCAGCTCTGCCGCGCGCACCTTGGAATCGGGTTTTCCTTAGTATACTTCTGTTGTAGTTTGTGTGCAGAAACGTTCATCCGGTCACGTTTTCTGCTCTGCTGATACCTCCTTCACACCCACGGTTGTCTCGTATTCTCAGCAAATGATTGTGCTCTCGGAGCCCTTTACGCAGCCGCCCGTCCTTCCTTCGCGTGCTTGTCTGTGCCGTGCCCTGCTGTCTTTGCCCGTTTTTGTGCGCGCGGCAGCATTGCTGAGGCGTCACATGTCACATCACCTATTGGGGCGTCAAATATCACATCACCTACTGAGGCGTCACATGTCACATCACCTACTGAGACGTCACATATCACATCACCTGCTAAGACGTCAATGTCACATCACCTGCTGAGGCGTCACATGCCACATCACCTGCTGAGGCGTCACATGTCATCACCTGCTGAGGCGTCACGTATCACATCACCTGCTGAGGGCGTCGCATGTCACGTCACCTTCTGAGGCGTCTCATATCACATCACCTGCTAATGTGTCACATGTCACATCACCTGCTGAGGCTTCACATGTCACATCACCTGCTGAGACGTCACATGTCACGTCACCTACTGAGGCGTCGCATGTCACACCACCTACAGAGGCGTCACATATCACATCACCTGCTGAGGCTTCACATGCCACATCACCTGTTGAGGCTTCACATGTCACATCACCTGCTGAGGCTTTACATGCCACATCGCCTGCTGAGGCTTCACATGTCACATCACCTGCTGACGCTTCATGTTACCTGTCCGCCGGCAGGCTGTATCGTGGTCGACGCGCCGTCCGTAGTGTCTGAATCGACCGGTAGGCGGCGCCACCTGCTGCAGGCGGCCGGCCTGCCCGGCCTCGCCGTGCGGTACGTCGCCGACGAGCCGGCCCTGCTGCAGGCGCTGATCGATCTGGTCAGCGGCACCGATCCGGATATCCTGCTGGGCTGGGAGGTTAGTGTCACCCGAGGGTCTCGCCCGAGGCCCTCACTTGAGGTCCTCACCCTAGGCCCTCACTCGAGGTCCCCACCTGAGGCTCCCGCCCGAGACCACCCGAGGCCCTCACCCGAGGCCCTCACCCGAGGCCCTCACCTGAGGCCCTCACCCGAGGCCCGCGCTTCGGAAGAAAGTGCGAGCCCGGTCGCAGTCGGGGCTTCTTACGAGAATAGTCTCCAGGGGTACATTTGTGTACTTCGTTGAGAATGAGCCAAGCCGGCACATCGTTGCGTATGTACAAAGCGGCGAGGTCGCGATACATGCACATGTCATCCAGCCGTGATGTGTTCACTCTTTGTTATGGGAGTGCGGCCGACGGGGACATTCTGGGACGCCGGGAACACGCCTTTGTCAAACAAAGCATCACAATATTTCACTTGTTTTGTTCGAGACGACAAATACCTGAAAAATGTATTGATAGTCGTGCGGTAAGATGGCAATGCCATTTAACCGGGAATCTGGACGGCTTTTGCGAGCGAAGGATGGTTCACCGGACGCACTGTTGGGTTGGGAAACCAGAGTGGCCCAGATGATCCAGCGGCCGTCCAGGTGTGATCTGCCGCCTATGCCTAATACTGCCGGTCGGAGTATTTGCTGACGCGAGCGAAGGATGGTTCACCGGGCGCGACTGTTGGGTTGGGAAACCAGCGTGGCCCAGATGGTCCAGCGGCCGTCCAGGTGTGATCTGCCGCTGCGGTCGGAGTATTTGCTGACATCATTCATGTAAGCAGTCTTCATTATCAGCCGCATGTGATGGTCATGATCAGCGATAAACGAATCAAGCAACTAAACCAGCTCAGTCATTCTGTGTGCGACAGGCACAACGGCTGCGCCCGATCCTAACATGATACCAACCTGTGGGCGAAGCCGGGTGTTGCGACTGTCGCCGCTCTGTCAGTCGCCGCAGCCCGTGTCGATGTGTGGCAGGTGCAGCAGCTGTCCTGGGGCTACCTGCTGGAGCGCGCCGAGTGTCTGGGCCGGCCGCTGGTGACGTCCCTGTCGCGGCTGCCCGAGTGCCAGCGCGCCTCGCGCGCCGCTGCCGACTCGGACCCGTACGGCTCGGAGCACACCTCCGAGATCCACCTGGCCGGCCGGGTGGTGCTGAACGTGTGGCGTCTGCTGCGGCATGAGGTTCGTCGGTGGCGCCTCCGCCAAACTGCGCAAGCTGTGAGCGCTCGTTGCGTTTTCCTATTTCTGCTAGGCTAGCGTCATGTTTAATGCCTGTAGCGGAGGTCGAATTGGAAGACCATCTTCCGGTTCCCATGTGTACACAATCGGTACGTGTCTTAGCATAATTGTTGCGGACGCCACTAAAGACGCTCGTTGCATTACGTTCTTCTATTATTGGCCGCTGTGCGTGTTGCAGGTGGCGCTGTACAGCTACACGTTTGAGAACATCGCTTACCAGGTGCTGCACCAGCGGCTGCCCGAGTTTAGCTTCCGGCAGCTGACCGAGTGGTGGCAGCACCCGTCCGCCGTCAACAAGTGAGCCAACGAGGTTATCATTCCTTGCCTGTGTGCCATCGTCCAGGATGCCTAGATATCGGGGCTAGATCTACTCCTGGCAGGGAAAGCCAGGGGATCCTCAGCGTTCAGGCTGGCGGTGCTGACTCCTTGGATTCCCTAGACTTGGATCGATTCCGCAGGCCCTCGTGGGCACGGGACCTCCGTCCCGCGTCCGGACGGTCGCTCCTCGAGTTGCCGCGGTGTCCAGCGCACAGATACGCCCCCGCTGCGGACCGGGCGTGACTGGCCGTTGCGTGTTCGTGATCAGGTGGCGGGTGGTCGAGTACTACGGCCTCCGCAGCCGGGGCACGCTGCAGATCCTGGGGCGGCTCGACATCATCGGCCGCACGGCCGAGCTGGCCAGGGTGTTCGGCATCCAGTTCTTCGACGTCATCTCCCGCGGCTCGCAGGTCGGTCGGGTGACGTCGCCTGCCGCGGCGAACGGGCCCGTGCGATGACGCCAGCTCTCGGGCAGGTCAGGGCGCCCAGCCTGGCTCAGTAGTTGTCCTCACGGCAGTCGTCCTGGACCAAAAACAAATGGACATAAGTATTGACAAATGAACTACTGTCGTGTGAAATCAGCCAAACTTCATTAAAAAAAGCTCGGGTTGTTTTTGTGTCGTACAGATGAATGGCGCTCAATCTGCCCTCATTTTTAATCACCCTCCGCCTTAGCTGCTGATGAGGCCCTAATGAGCCTTGTGACCCCATTCACTGGCGTGCCAGCGCGCCTCGGCCTCAGCGCGGCCACATGAGACCTGGCGCCGGTTGCAGTTCCGCGTCGAGTCGATGATGCTGCGGCTGGCCAAGCCGCGCAACTTCGTGCCCGTCTCGCCGTCTGTGCAGCAGCGAGCGGCGGCTCGGGCGCCCGAGTGTGTGCAGCTCATTCTGGAGCCCGAGTCCAAGTGAGAGCGCACAGAGCGTAGAGCGCATTTCATGAGCTGGTGAAACTGCTCCTGAGGCCGTGGGTGGACGAAGGGCATCGCCGAGGAATGCCAGTGTCGGAGTTGTATTCAGGCGTCGCCTCTGAGCGGCAAAGCGATCTTTGCATCTCCCAAATGAGCGGTCGGTGCCGTTGCGAAGCATGAAGTTGCATGTCAGCGAAATGGGTAACGCCCGAAGCATCAGTGGTTGGATGTAAACGTCCCATAAATATCTCGTCATTCGTACTGCAGGAAAGAAAAGCAAGCAAATGGCGTGGATTTGTGGACGACAGGAGCAAAGGAGACTGCCAACCAGTAGCTGAATGTGTTACATTACCTTTGTCCACATGTTTGTGATTGTCGTGTCCTGACTTTGGGCCTCAGCGCTTTGATAGGCGTTGTCGAGTTACATACGCGTGCCGTTTCCGACACCGGTTGTGTGCGCGGTCGTGGGGCTGTCGGTGGTGCAGCTGCGTACAAACACCTGGTCACTGTGGCTGGCTGCAGGATGTACGTGGATCCCGTGGTGGTACTGGACTTCCAGAGCCTCTACCCGTCCATGATCATCGCCTACAACTACTGCTTCTCGACCTGTCTGGGACGCGTGGAGCACCTCGGACAGTGAGTCTGGTCGGGGACTAAGAAGCGGCTTGTTAAGTGAAGGTTACGTTCTGTGTTTCTCCCCTTTATTTGTGACTTACGGTAGCAAACTACGGGACAGTACGGGAACCACATGCACGACCTCCACCGAATAATGTTCCCCTCAACGCCCCGTCCTTCTGCCCCGCTTACGTGTGTGGGGGGAGGGGGCCTGCTGTTGTAGGCGCGCATCTGGTTCGGGCGCGCGTGCGGCGCCGGGCGCTCACCTGCCGACGCTGCGCGCAGGCGGGGCGCGTTCCCGCTGGGCTGTACAGCCCTGCAAGTGCCGCCGCCGCTGCTGGCGCGCCTGCTGGCCCGGGACCAGCTGCACGTGTCGCCGAGCGGCGTCGCCTTCGTCACGGCTGACGTGCGCCGCGGCGTGCTGCCCGACATGCTGGCTGAGATCCTCGGCACGCGCATCATGGTGAGGCGCGCCGCGTCGGCACCGACGACGGCGCCGTCAGCCGGTGCCGGGTGGCCTCCGGTTGGCTCTGATCGGAAGCCTCGGTCGTCCGACAGACGGGTGACAGACGTCTGACTGACGCCGTCAGCGCTGGCCCATCCGGCTGTGCTCTGACATAAAGCTTGTGGCTGTGCAGAGTCCTCACGCTCGTCGCCAGGTGCTCGGGCGCTGCGGGAGCGTTACTCGATGAGTGGAGGTGACGGGTACTGACGTAGACGTGCGACTGCAGGTGAAGAAGGCCATGAAGGCCAACAAGGACAATCCGTCGGTGAGGCGCCTGCTCGACTTCAAGCAGCTGGGTCTGAAGCTGATCGCCAACGTAACGTACGGCTACACCTCGGCCAACTTCAGCGGCCGCATGCCTTGTATCGAGGTCAGTCTTGTACCACTCCGACTTGCTGTTGGGCTGTCTTCTCAGGCCCACAGCAATGTTCATGCCTGAGAGGGCGGCTGTCCGAATCTGCCCACCTCGTCCCTAGCCGTATGCGTACGTTTGAAGCCCGGTTTTTGTCCTTGCTGCAGTGTATGGCGCTGTGCCGCGTTTCGTGCCGCATCTCAGTTTTTGTCTTGCTGTGCTCTGTCGTGCCCAGTGTTTGTGATGTCGCCTGCTGTCCAACGCTCAGATAGCGTCTGTTGTTCTCTCGCGGCGATCTTGTTCCTGTCGCTCCCCTTGTTTCCGCAGTCCGTTGTCCCCCCCCCCCCCCGTGGCCAGGAACGCACGCACGCACGCACGCACGCACGCACGCACGCACGCACGCACGCAATCAATCTCCTTCGCTGGCTGTTTGTGTGTGTATGTATGTGTGCGCGTGCGTGAGTGCGCGTGTGCATGTACGTGTGTGTGTGATGTGACACACACATCGCCCGCGCTGACAGTGTCCTGCGAGGGCCGGTGCCGTCCCCGACAGTGGGCCGATGATTGTGTCGGCTGCCACCAGGTGGGGGACAGCGTGGTCAGCAAGGGCCGCGAGACGCTGGAGCGAGCCATCCGCACCATCGAGTCCCGGCCAGAGTGGGCCGCCAGGGTGGTGTACGGCGACACCGACTCCCTCTTCATACTGCTCAAGGTGAGGGCCAGGGTGGTGTGCGGCGACACCGACTCCCTCTTCATGCTGCTCAAGGTGAGGGCCAGGGTGGTGTACGGCGACACCGACCCCCTCTTCATACTGCTCAAGGTGAGGGCCAGGGTGGTGTACGGCGACACCGACTCCCTCTTCTTCATACTGCTCAAGGTGAGAGTCGGGGGGGGGGGGGGGGGTCAGGAAGGTTATGGTGGCACAAACTCCTCTTTATGCTTTTGAAGGTGACGGTTGCATGCATTATTCCCGTGCGTTAGTTCTTTTCTGGTGAACTGCGTGATGTCAGAGCAGGCAGCTTGATGGCACCTCGCGCCCATTGCACAAAGATGCAGTTCACTGCATTGCGGCCTGACCTACAGTTTAGCGCGTTATTTTGCCACGAAACCACAACGTGCTGTATCTTCTGCCGCCGGCTATCGCGCGCACGGGGTTCACAGATCTAGCACCCGATCGTGGGGTCACGGTCACCGGTCACGTGGCGCTGTTGAGTGTCAGCTGCGCCGCCTCCCATGCGGGCGGGCCGGACAGCGCCGGCCGAGCCCGGCGACGTCCGCTCACCGCGCTGCCGGCCTGTGGCGGCAGGGCCGGACCCGCGCCCAGGCGTTCGAGCTGGGCGCCGAAATGGCGGCCGCCGTCACCGCCGACAACCCCGACCCGGTCAAGCTCAAGTTCGAGAAGGTCTACCAGCCGTGCATTTTACAGGTGGGCTGGGGGCCGGCGCTGGGCTGCGGTCGGGTGGGCGTCCGTGGCTGCCTCCGCGTCACGCCCGGCTGCCAGCCGTGGCTTGGACATGGTGTGCAGGCCAAGATGTGGATGGCTGTCTCCAGGTTATGTGTATGCATGCCCATTCTTACTGTTAGTATGCAGCGACCAAACGCGGGCCGCCTAGCGTCCCCGGTGAATTGACGAACCTCGGTTTCGCTATGGCCCCTGAGCGCTAACATGTCTCGGCAGTCGCTTGCGCTCCGTAAAATGGTGCGCAACGACGTAGGTTGCGTTCTTTTCGAAAAGATAAAGGATAATTTTATCCGTTCTGCCCGGTCGTGACCTCGGTTGTGCTGTTTCAACTGCTGGCGGTGGCGCATGACATTAACCCGCGCGGTCGCCATGTGCCTCAGACCAAGAAGCGGTACGTGGGCTTTATGTACGAGACGCCCGACCAGCAGGAGCCCGTGTACGACGCCAAGGGCATCGAGACCGTCCGGCGAGATGGCTGTCCAGCCGTTGCCAAGGTAATTGCCGCCCTCGCAGAGCACGTCCTGCAGGAGTTTTGGCAAGTCTCATCCAGCCGCCGCCACTGAAGCCCGGTTGGTCTCGTGACTGGTGAAGTTGGTGTGGGAGTAAGTGTCTAATCTCGCGTCACTTCGTGCGAGAGGTCCAAAACGCCACCGCTGCTAACGCTCTCTCCGCCATCTGGCTCTCCCGCTGACCTGCGGTGTCCGTGGACCTCGGGGGCCATTGGCGACGTTATCATTCGGTGGATGTGATTCGCGTTCCTAGTGTCCGTCGCTGACGGGATCACGATACGCGGCCACTATGGCAGACTGGGGGCCATGGGACGCTCAAACAACATGATAAGTACTTACCGCCAGCCAGGTTCCCCCGCCGGTTCTGGGAGAGTGACCTTGGTGAAGTGACATTTGAGTCGATCGGAATCGAGCGCCCGTCACGCGGCGCTCCCGTTGGCGGGATGACTGAGGTGTTTTTTGCTGAGCCGCCACGTGCACCTGTCGGCCGCTGGGCAAACACACTGCCTCGCTCCGACCGGCGCCTGGCCCGTCCCGACCTCGCCTCGCCGCCTGCTCGCCTCCTTCTCCCCACCTGTCTGTTTCTCCGCCTGCCCGCCTCGTTGCCTGCTCGCCTGCTCGCCTCCCCGCCTGCTTGCCTTTCCGCTTGCTCGCCTCCCCTCCCCACCCGCCTGTTTCTCCGCCTGCCCGCCTCGTTGCCTGCTCGCCTGCTCGCCTGCCCGCCCCCTGAACGGAGCCGACGCGCCGGCAGATCCTGGAGAAGTCGCTGCGCCTGCTCTTCACCAGCCACGACCTGGGCGCCGTGCGCGGCTACGTGACGCGCCAGTTCGAGAAGCTGCACCGGGGCGCCGTCAGTGTGACCGACCTGACGTTCGCGCGCGAGTACCGCGGCCGCGCCAGCTACCGGCCGACCGCCTGCGTGCCGGCGCTGCGCATCGCCGAGTACGTCGCTGGCGGGCTGACGTCACGCGCCGCCGACGTGACGTCAGGCTCTGGAGTCACGGCCGCAGGCTCTGGGGGCCGCCCGCGCCCCGTACTCGCTTGTGCTGTCAGGGTTCGGCCCTGCTTTCGGGAGTTCAGCACGTAGATGCCGTCCTTGCATGCAGGGGTCCCCACTCACTGGGTGCCGGTCTCCAAGGAGCACTGCCGTGCATTGGATCGTCGTGAGTCTTCAGGCGCCAATTGTTTTGCACCCGAAGTGTAAGTACGTGCAGGTCTTCAGTCGCGTTAAGGGTGTAGAGGAGTCAGAACTAGGATTGCCATGAGCTGCACACCATGTGAGTTTATTTATCCTTTTTACACTGTGTGGATATTCCTGGTTGTCATTTTACCGGTATCTAAGGTTATGGCATTGAAATAGCGTAACAAACGAGTACCACAGTGTCTTAGATAGAGAGTCGACTCATACGGTCGTGCTCGGCCGTCACGTCCGCCCGTCCTGGCCGGGTCCCGTGTGACGCTCCGTCCCGTGCCCGCCAGCCGCCAGGTGCGAGCCGACCGGCGCGCCGAGCCGCGCGTGGGCCAGCGCGTGCCGTACGTGGTGGTGTACGGCGCGCCGGGCCTGCCGCTGATCCAGCTGGTGCGCTCGCCAGCCGAGCTGCTGGCCGACCCGGCGCTGCGGCCCAACGCCGAGTACTACGTGAGCCGGGCGGTGGCGCCGCCGCTGCAGCGCTGCCTGGGTCTGCTCGGCGTGGACGTGCTGGCCTGGTACGCCAGCGTGCCGCGTCTGCTGCGCTTGGCGCCGCCGTCGGCCGCCGCCGCCGCCACCACCATCTCGCGCTTCTTCGCCGGCCGCAGCTGCGCCGTGTGTGCGCGTGCCAGCGGCCGGCCGGTGTGCGCCGCGTGCGCCGGCCGGCCGCTGCGCACCCGGCTGGAGCTGGCCGAGACGCTGCGGCGCCGGGAGCGGGCGGCCGCCGCCGCTAGGACGGTGAGGGCCGCGCGGGACGCGCTGTGCGTCTCACGCGACAGCCTCGCACGGGACCCACTCATAGCCACCAGCTGGTGACCAGAGCTCCGATCTCACACATTTCCCGCACCCTCCGGGCCTCAGGCGCATCGTTGGCTCCCTTATCAACATTTAATCTATTGCAGATCGGAGGTCTTTGCGCTTGTTATAGGCCTACCGATTGCTTTTTCCATCTTAGTGGGTTCGTTGGGCCAGCTTAGTATTGTGCCTGTAAGACGTTTGTTGTGGTGAAAAGCTGACCACGAGTAGCTCATGTGTTTAGGAATCTTTGCATCCGGCATTTAGAGCCCGCCTAGCTTAAATCACTGCTGACTGTGCTTGCGGTGGGATTTCGTAACCGACGTGTTTGAGCATGGATGTAGTCCTGCGTCTGCTTTGGACACCAGCACTTGCTTCCTGCGGCTCGTCTGTTTGCCGGGACACTGACCATTCCGTGGCTCTCCGGGCAGGTGTGCGCCAGCTGCTTGGGCCAGCCGGCGGCGGCGCCCATCGCCTGCGTCTCGCTCGACTGTCCGGTGCTGTGGGGCCGCGTGGCGGCCGACCGGGCGGCGGAGGCGGCGCCGCACCTCCGACAGGTGCTGGAGTCGCTGACGGCCTAGCTGGACGGTCTGACTGGTCTAGAGTCGCTGGTGGCGTAGCTGAACAATCTCAGTAGCCTAGATTTGCAGCCGATCAGGCGCACCGATGCCAGGAATGTCTGAATAGCCCGGACTCGCTCCCCTGGAGTCACCGCTCCCCACCGTTCGACCAGCCTGGAGGGCTGCTTTCCCGGCCTGGGGCCACTGACGTGGAGTCGCAGGCGGTATGGTGGGATTGACAGACTGGCCTGGGGTTCCTGACAGTCCGAAGGACTGTCTTAACTGGTCTGGGGTCATTTAAGCATAGTGGAGCCCCCTCATGATCCGGTAGAAATATAGGCCAATGAGAACTATGGACACAGAAGCCAGCGGAATGCCGGGGACGCAGCAATACTGTCCGCCTGGAAATCGCGGACACGCAAGGCAAACGAGAGCTGTCTGACCTCGAGACATTGATGACACAGGTACCGCTTCGCCGCGCTGTTGACACGGTGTGTCTCGCGGTTATCAGTGCCCTGGAGGCACTTGTATTGGCCTTTTGGACCTGTCCAAAGCCCTGTGATAGCTAGGTCGAGCTTGCGGGACACCCCATGCTTCGCGGCACCGCGTCTGCCGCCTGGTGGGGCTGTGTGCCGCTGTCGCGGCCCGTGCTAACTGCTGTGATAGCCGAGTCGAAGGCGCCCAGCAGCGTCCCACCGGAGCTGGTGACTGGCTGAGCGCGTCCTCCATCGCCGCCGGGCGGGGAGCGGCCGCGTCACCTGTAGTCGGAAGGCTGTGTTTTGTAGTTATCTCGCTCTCGGTTGTGGCGCACGCTCGCGCGAGTTCCGCTGGGTCGAATAGACACTGCCTCCTTTTGTGTTGCTGGTAGGGTTTTCACGCGACTTGTTTGGTTATTTTGACCCTGCTAACTCAGGAACAGGCATCGTGCCGTGATGGTATCCATCGTGTATTTGTTGTGAACACGTCCAGTCCCTCGTTGGTAAGGGCCATTTGAACACGATATTGCGAGGATGAGGTTTGAAGTGCATTATTTTTTATGTGAATATATCCGAAACAATTAGCAGCACCTGTCTGTTCAAGACAACGCTCCTGGTTATGAACGCCTCCGCATCTGGTGGACGTCCGTTGCGCTCGTTTCGTCCATTTTCAATGGTGAATTATTCGGGCCCAGTCCATGATCAAACACTTTCGTGCGTGACTGGTCCAGACATGGCTACAAACTCGCGTGGTGGTCGCTTGGAAAGCCGGCATGGTCACATGTGGAGAGCACTTAGTTAAAAAGGCACTGCCACGCTGCGGTATCAGTTCGCGTGTATTGGAACATCAGACACCCAGCCCGGTTCATAATCATACTAACGGTCGCGGCAAAATGTTGCCAGATGCAGGACTTGTCCACGCGCACAGGGACAAACTCAGACATTCCGTCGTTCATCATACCAGTGGTCATGGTAAAATGTCTCGAGGCAGTCATTTCGTTCCTGAGTCTTCTCGCGAAAATCTCGGCCAGGTACAACGGGGATCAAACGCCCTAAACCATACCATTGCACGAGAGACTACGCAGTATGCAAGACTAGACGGAAGACTCGGAGGTCACCGCCCCTCTTCCGATCGCCTCATGCAGCACGGGCACGGGCGTGTCTGTCGAGGGGTACACGCGAACGGCGGCCACACCCTCGGCGGCCGCTGCCCGCCGACCGCCTCGCTCTCGGTGCCTGGTCCGCGGCGGTGCTCCTCCCAGGACGCCTCGGGGGCGGACAGGTCCAGAGGCCGGTCCTGAGCCGCTCCGACCGGCCGGACGGCGGCGGGGACTAACTACCCTTCGACCGGCCAGGCGGCGGCGGGGACTACTCATCGGTCGGGGAAGGCGGCGCGGGCGCGGGCGTCGGTTCCGGCCGGCGCCGCTGCAGCGCGCCCGACACCGTCTCGTACACGACGAACGTGATGGCCGTGGCCGGCACGACGCGCGTCAGGTTGGGCGCCAGGCCCTTGTAGAAGCCGCGCCAGCCCTCCTCCCTGCGACAGGGCGGGCGGCGTCACGGCATGGGGAGGGCAGAGCACGGGGAGAGCAGACTACTGGGGGAGGGGGAGGTGGGTGGAGTCACCGCTGCTCGCGGGGGATGGACCATGACACCCATCCATAGACAGGAGAGACGAAAAATGGCGGCAGAAACATATCGTGCGGAGGGGGGGGGGGGGGGCAGACTTTCCTGGAGGAGAATCAGCGCCCTTTACTCGTGACCTTTAGCTGGCCTTGGTTATGTCGCAATAATGCAGTCATCGGGTTGTTGATATGGCCGAGTGGCTTTGTTTGGCTTCTTTACTGTTTGGGGGTGCTGACAACGCACCGTTCATTTGCTTCACAGACAATGCCAGCAACGCCGGGGAGCAGGCGTTCATGCACAAGGACTTACCGGGTACATATATTAAACGGTTCGTGAATTGTACAGTGCCAACTGAAACGGTCCGCTCCCTTGAGCAGTGAGAGGTCTCGTATAAGATCGGACCGGTAGGTGATCCTAGGAGAGATCAGCAACCGAGCCCAGAACCTGTCCAGAGCTGGAGGAAGGGAGACGACACAATGCACCCCCACAACGAGCACCGTCACCTCTCCTCACCGTCCAGGAATAGGGCCCGTGGCCGTCAGTGGACCGGGGTGTGGCAGGAGGCACAAGCAAGGCCCCTTTCAGACCAGCCGCTCCACGCTCGTCGCTGGAGAAAGTGAACTTAAGGCGCCACCGGGAAGTAGGAGTCTTCGGCGAGCCCTATTCGCTGAGTAAACCTTGCCGGGAGAAGTGATATAAATGATGTCCGTAAAGCTGGCGTTTTACTGTTGTTCGAATTCAGCGTCGATGCGATTTGTACTCAGAAATCAGGGCGGAGATCAAGTTCACACATAGTTGCCCCGGGGTCACGCCTCCTCATCCCCACCCCAGTTTATGGCATGCATTGTTTTGTACGTGGCTATATACTGCAATTTTTAAAAATTTCACGCAGACACGCACATAATAAGATGGAGAGCATGCGATGCTGATTTGCGAAACGCAGAAAACCGTGTACGCTTACGAAGCGCCAACCTCGGTTTTTGGCGGCATTCTTTTCTATACGCCCCCCCCCCCCCGCATTCCGAAAACCTGCACACACCACTGGATCATGGTACAAATCTGAATCGCAGCGAGTGCGCAGATCACGAGGTGACATGCGACGGGTGCCGCACATATTCGTTCCCGGCGAATAATTGGGTACGTGCTGCGCTGACATCCGGCCGGACAGCATCAGCACCACAGCCCGGTCCGTGGGCTCCGCGCTGCCCGCGGTTGGCGCCCGGCCTTGATCGGCCGCGCTAGCATTTGGCAGCGAACGGCGATCAGCCCCCCGCCCGACGTCCCATTGTCCGTCCCAGATAGACTCGTATCACAGTCTGCTGCTACCCGGGCGGCGTCTGAACAGGGACTCGACCCACGTCAGGCGCGGAGGACTTGACTCGCGTCCGCCGGCTCTGCGGAGGACTGAACTCACGTCTGGGTCAGATGGAGAGCTCGACTCACGCCTGAGTCTGGAGGACTCGACTCACCGTCTGGGTCCGATGAAGGACTCAACCCACTTCTGCCCGATGGAGGACTCGGCTCACGTCTGGGTCCGATGAAAGGCTCGACTCACGCCAGGGTCCAATGGAGGACTCGACTCACGTCGGGGTCCGATGAAGGACTTGACTCACGTCTGGGTCCGATAAAGGACTTGTCTCACGTCTGGATCCGATGGAGGGTTTGACTCACGTCTGGGTCCGATGGGGACTCGACTCACGTCTGGGTCCGATGGAGGACTCGACTCACGTCTGGGTCCGATGGAGGACTCGACTCACGTCTGGGTCCGATGGAGCCAAGATAATCTAACAGCCAAGATAACCAGGTATAACATTCATGATGCCTGTGATGGCGAACTTTTGTTGCGGTTGGTCCCAATAAAAATTGGTCCACACTCACAATTAAATACGAATGTTCTACTAAGTATTACGTAACCATTGCACCATTCCAGAGCGTCAGTGAGGACTAGCCCACGACTGCATTCGGTTAGTAACGGTTACATTCGGTATAGCATGAGTGCGACCTGGTTCGACCAGCATGTGATCTTATGTTTGTCAATTTCATGCAAAGAGGCGGCCCATGTCCGTGGTGGCCCGTCTCACGTTCGCCCAGGGCAGGTCATGCAAGTCCCCTCCGCCGTCCGTAAATCTCATGCAGCATCAATGTCAGACTCTATGCCCTTCGATCCAGGCTTGCCTCAAGGGCGGTCACGGGGTCCAAGGAAATCCGTTAAAAAACCAAATGCACCGCAAGGGCACACAACAAACACAAATAGTGTTGACGAAAAGACCAGGACAAGCATGCTGTGGGTTCAGCATCCCGGTAAGCGTCCAGTTGCAGGATACAGGGTCCGGATCCTGAGATCTGCTTATGGGATCCGGACACGTCCACTCCAGAAACGACGACAGCCATGCGCCCCAAATGTCTGTCGGGCCGCAATCAACACCGTCATGAACTCAACATGAATCGTCAACTCACGCAATATACGCGGCCGGCAGCAGTGGTCTGCGACGCCACCTAGCCCCGCTTAAGTGAACCACGACATTCCAGGAGTCAGCTAAAGCATGCAAACGGAATGCAGTGACTTTCGGGCGAGAAGTGCAGAGGTCACATTCAGTCCAGATTTCCTGGAGACAAACAAGGCGCCTAAAACGGCAGCGAAACACCCAGCTGGCCATCTGGCGGCTGGGGCGATGAGTGCCAGCTTTCCCATCCACACGATAGCGAAGGGTGACCGGGTGGGCTGTGTGCTGCGCAGCACCATCTGGCCGCTGCTGTTTTGGTCGTACGGGGGGCGGATGTGTTGCGGAGTACACGTGGTGACGCATGTACTGCCATGTCCAGCTGCAAAAGTGTCTTGCAGAGATAATGTCCCGCACGTCCGACCTCGCCATCCGTCTGTCTTGAAACATGAGTCCTCGCGTGAGACAAATGGATCCTGGTCAGCAAGACCTGAGTCGTCCACCTATGTAAGGCCCGCGCTTCTCCGACACCCAGCTCGGATAAAATAGCAAACTTAAGCCTAAATGCATGCACTGACCTCCATATTAAATTTGTCACCTACCTTGTTTGCCCAACCTTCACTTCATCCTAAATGATCGCAACACGCCGTATCACTGAGTATGCCACGGCCGTCCAGCGCCAAGCGTCACCACTTACCTCTCTCCTCGCTCCCTCAGATCTGCGGTGCTCAGTCATGGACGAAACAACTCTAGGCCTGGCCAAGCAAATCCTGTTTGTCGGCCATCTCCTTTCTGGCAGCAAACAAGATCCAAAGCTCGGCAGGCCCCTTTATCAATCCTGTGATGGGGCCGTTTAAAGCGGACGGCTGATGAGGTGAGGCGAATTCCTATCTCAGGACAAAATCATATCGGTGGCGACCATGGAGCTCATCGTCTCAATACCCTGGTGCTCAAACTGGGATGTCAAACTTGTCCGCACTATAAGCATTTCACAATGCGCCAGGCAAGCAAAATGAACCCATCTCACGCATAGCTCCGAAGGTCCTTTGCAGGTAGTGCACCATATAGCTTTGCAAGGAGATGTGAACGGCGAAAATGGTTGAGAGCTGTGTCTGTGTGCGAGCTGGTTCAGGGTCGGGATGGGGAGGTTCAGTCGGGATGCGGGGATTCAGAGTCGGGATGCGGGGGTTCAGAATTGTCTTTATTCGTTACCTTTGGCTTACTTCCACCGGTCTGTTCATTTATCCGAAAGTCTGAGAGGGAAGCCGCTTCCTGCCACGAATCCCAAGCACTGCGAGGTTGGCACCCAATAAATGATTTGAACCCGCACTTGCCACAGGGACTCCTGCCCCGCGTTACCGCCAAACACCACGCTTAACATCGCCCACTCTACCTCCGACCGGCCTGCCCATGCCCGCCCCACGGGGTGTCCCGCTAAGCTGGCGGCTGGGATGGGGGATCTTCTGACCCCAGCCGGGCCGCGGCACCGGAAGTCCCTCAGTCCGGGTCCCGGCGAGCCAAGGACGCCGTCCCATACTGTTGCCGTCTTCCTCGCAGCTGCACTCCGTGTCAAGCGTGTAGTGTGTCCATTTACTGTCTTAGAGCTACGTTAAGTCAGGTGAACCTAGCTAACGACGGTATTGCGGTACAGAAGTAAGTAATTTCAATTACAACATGCGCAAATTGGGTGTTAAATTAAGCAATATTCCCTAGCGTTATCAGCACTCTGCATAGCTGGCAGTACCTAAGGACACTAATGCTGACTTCTAATTGGGCGGCGCACATTGAGCACGGCCCGGGCATTATGTGGCCCTGCCGAAGGTGAAGGGGCGCGGGCCGCCGTAGGGCTGGAGGAATGCGATCCCTCAGGATAACAGTCAGCCCGACCCCCACCCCCCGACCGACCCCGACCCCCACCCCTCGACCGACCCTATCGTTAGCGGCCCACCTTTTACTTCGGCCGATTTGGCGAAACCCTCAACAACCATCAACTGCCAGTTAGGGACCAAGTGCTGTCGCTTGTGGCCGGCCGTGTGTCGAGGCAGTTTGTCGCAGGATCTCCAATTTTAAACTCCGTTATGCAACTCGTCCAGGCCTGAGACGGCCCCGAACAGCGGCTGCCAGACGCGTCTACAACAAGCACCGCGTCTTCGACCAAACGGGCGGCATTCCACCCAGCCGAACTGGTTGCACAAACCATCTTCTCGGCGATTAATAAAAAAATCTGCTCATCAGGCGCTCCTCGACGCAAAGGTCACAAAAACTGGATCTATTGTTGCCGTTTCCAAGGCAGTGCAGTTATACCAAACGGCTGAGATGTTGAGCGATGGTGAATGGGCGGTATGGTTGTTGTTTATTGGTGTTTTCGGGCGCGTCGACTGCGCTGGTCATTTTGCGCCCAAGTGAATGGGCATTAAGTGAATACCTTGTTCTGCCTGATTGGTATGCTGCGTAATCACACTAAGACGAGTGCGGCGCGAATAAAAATTTCTTAAAATATGGAATTAAACACTTCGCCTAAAAGACGCGATTGACCTATCCACGTATCCCGCTCGGCCACGGACCCAGAGCGGTGGGATCACGCCCATACCCCGATTTCCCTACATCTGCGCCATGTTGTGCCACAACTCATGACTCCTCCATGGGGCATGCCTGGAGGAGCTCCACACGGCGGCGCGCCCGCGCCTCGTCGCCGAGGGGCACATTCCAAAGGTGGGTCCGACGGTCACCAGCGGCCCGATCAATAGGCGCGCGTCCCCGGGTGACGGGACCCGGGGCCGATGTTCGGCCGTCTATTCTGGTGGCGCCTGCCGCTCGCCCACCCCTGGCGCCCGGCCCAGCCCCGGCCGTCTCGTGACCCTGCCCCGTGACGTCACCGCACGGGTGAGGAGTGACGTCACCAGTCGGTGGCCTGCGGCGGGCGGTGACCGAGGACGTCCACCCGAGTCTAGGAAAGGCCAGTTCAGCCAGGGGAATGACGAGCACATCATGCAGCCGCAGATCACGGCTGCACGGACCACCCCGGCGTCACGGGAGCCGCGTCTGCGGGCTAACGTTGAGGCGCGTCAGCACCACGGCGTCGCCTGGCGCCCCCGTTGCTTGGCGCGGCATCCACCAACGACGGGCGATAACCTTGCGTAAGGCTTTCGAACTGGCAGACACATGCCATGGCGTCGGGCTCCGAGCCAGTTCTAGCTCTCGTGGGGCAGGCCGGGTCCGTGGTGCGACTTTGGAGGTGGAACCAAGACCAGGCACCGCACCCACCTTGTGGTTGGCCGCATCACAAGGCCGGTCCCAGACTTAAAATCTCCCGGGACAGAGGTGCCATATCATCATAAGACGATCATACGTCCAGTACCGCAAGGTGCATTATTCAGCAAGTGCTTGAACTACACATTTTGTACGTTATAGAATACATACAGGTACCACGTAGTTCAAAAGCTACTTTTTCTCGCACCGCACACCTGCGTTTACCTAACGTCCTGCCTGCCATGGATCTAGTCCGGTGTTATGCGCCAATGTCGTGACGCTGGCTGGTAAATCAGGTTCAAATTGCGAAGAAATACGTTGGTGCAAAATTGCCATGGTTAATAGTTTTGGAAATTGTGCCCACATTTGCTTGGGTAACAACTGCAAATATATTGATACTTAAAGGAAGACGTAACACCACGATACGCCTGTGCTGCTTTCATGGATCTTCCTCTCCATGCAGGAATATTGCAGTCGAGCTGGGTTTCACGAACGGCGATAGACCACTCTCCGGACCATTCTGCTGAGCTACGGCCGGTACATTCGCCTACAGCGCGTATCTGGTTCCGTGTTTCCGTCTGCCGGATCGCTTACATTTCATATAAACGCCTAAAAGCGTCCCAGAACGGACGGGGCCTAGGAATGCGTGCAACTGCGCACACCGACCCACACTAGCCCCGGCTACCGTCCGTTTTCTCCCGCGTCAGAAGCCGATAGTCTTGTCTCGCTGCGACACGGAGTTGGGAGATGCCGACGCGTTTTCGACTCGTCTTGTTCAGCTTTTCCGTACTTTGACAATGCTACGTTTTCCATTCGGGTCGAATGTGAAGGCGACATGGTGGGACCCTGCGACTGCTTGCACGAAAACACCAAATAGCTCGTACAAAACACGGCTTTCGTGTAGTTACGCTCCTTGATGCTGAAGATCAAACAAACCTGAGACCAATGGTTGCCAAGATATTGGCTTCCAAAAAATCTTAACAAACGTGCTAGGCCCATCACGCTGAACATTTCCCGAAATTTCGAATTTTGTTTTCCGAAATTCCCGAAAAAGGAGATTCACTCGACCTACGGCCCCGAATTCACCCAATCGACCCACCGCCTACGACGTCAGTAACGCCGTTAATTTGCACCAGCGCCCAACGTGGAACCGCCACGTCAAAAATTACATTTCAAGAGCGGTTCACGTCTGCTAAGGTTTGGAGCTAAAATGTTCTGCGGGTTCCGTCTATACTTGCTAAGATGGCCCGAGCCCACCGAAGTAGCCACCACCGTTCGTTCTCCGACCAAACCCCTCCACTCCAGCACGTCCACGTCACGACAGTGGGGACGGTTTTGGCGGTCATCAGTGTTCCTCCTTCCTCCGTTTTGGCGCCGCGAAAACAGTCTCAGCGGTCATCCAGCAGCGATATCGCGGTCTACTCGGCGACGACGCCCGCCGGACGGCGATCTGGCATCGCTCGGTCGTCACCCCCTCCCACCCCCCCCCCCCCCGTGTCCCTGCCGTCGCCTGATCCTGCCCGTGACCCCGGCGTCGCTCGGTCGTCACCCCCTCCCCCCCCCCCGTGTTTCTGCCGTCGCCTGATCCTGCCCGTGAGCCCAGCGTCGCTCGACCCTGTGACCCGGGCCGCTCGGCCGCTCGACTGTCCGGCGCCGACCGCAGCTCCGGCAGCCGCCGCCGCCTCCGCCCGTCCGGCCTCGCCGACACACCGACACACACACCCACTTAAAACGAGTATATTTGGAGTGCGACGCGGTCCGACGTACACCGGTCGGCCGCCATCGACCCAGCGGCACCACAGGGCCGCCCCTACAGCTAGCACAGCCAGGGTCGGCAACGCGCGCGCTCGCCGTGCCGATCACAGACAGATGGGAGCCGCGGGCGGCGGCGGCGGGCGGCCATCGGAGGCGGGCAGCGGCGGCGGCTCCGTCTTCAGCCGGCAGCCGGCGGGCCGGCGGCTCCCGTGCGCGTGTGTGTGTGGGTGGGTAGGTGAGGCGGAGGCAGTGTCGGCGCCGGCGTCCGGCGTCGTCAGCTGCCGGCGCCGCTCGTCATGAGCTCGTACACGAGGAACACGCAGCAGATGTTGGGCGTCACGTGGCACAGGTACGGCGTGAGGCCCTTGTACAGTCCGCGCACGCCCTCGTACCTCAGCACGCGCCGGATCACGTCCATAGAGCCGGCGTACTCGACGTGGTGGTCCTGCAGCCGGGCGCGCACCACCTGGTACGGGTACGTCACGCACGCCGCGAAGAGCTTCGAGAGCGCCGCAAACTGAAGATACTCCAGAGTCGACTGAAACGCGGCGGCAGGGTCAGAGTCAGCCTGCTACCGGAGCCGGGAAGGGGCGGGGGGGGGGGGGGGGGGTCAAGTCAACACACTGTCGCGACGCAGAAGCGCAGCTGGGTGTCGTTAAGCGCCGGGCAGATGTAAACGTTGTGTCCCGGCAGACAGCAGAGCCACAGCGCTCCCTGCCGCGGCGTCGCAGGCGCGGGGCGGCGGCGGAGAGCCGGGGACGAGGACCGTGCCGACCGCAGCTTGAGAAAAACCGAGACAGGAGAGGTCGCGGCAAGGGGATTCGGGTCTGGCAGAGGGCGGCCAGGGAAGCTGATCGATCGGGCGGCATTAGATCAGGCTAGCGGAACGGAAAGGAGCCATGGGGATCGTCGGTAATGATCAACGCCCATGCTCTAGTAGCACTGGTAGCAGAACGGCAGCAAAAACGGCGCAAAGGCTCCGCGGGTGGATACGGCTGGGCAGGGCAGCGCCAGTACAGTCAGATCGTGTACTGTACTCGGCAGTACCTTCCAGTACTCGGCAGCACCAGAGGCCTGTCGAGTCACGCATGGACTCGCCAACAACTGCTGACCGGCGGGCGACTCAAGAATGACCGGGCCTGCCATCGCCGAGCCGGCACCTGCCGCCGCCGGTCAGCCGCTATCTCTGCTGACGTCAGGCAGACGACAGCCGGCCTGGCCAGCCGGGGCCAGCGCGTCTCCGGACGGGTGCAAGTACCGAGAAGGTCTGCGCCGCGCCGGCGATCGGTGCTCGTTCGACCCACGGCAAGAGCCGCATCAACTGCGCAGCGACTGCACGCGCTGTTATCTGACGCGCTCACCAAAGGGCTTAGCTATGCACATAACCGCGCTCCAAATCAATGCCAGCCCGATATTACCGCTCCCGGGTTTTCCACCGGTAATAGGATTATCAGGAGGTCGCAGTGTTTGCTGCCATCGTTTAATCGCCGCCCCAAAATTAATTTTCAAGCGCGAAACGACTGCATGAAGCGGCATGCCATGGCTGCATGGCATTGCACCATCCGACCTCATGCCACTGCATGCAATAATGGCGGATTTTACAGCGGGCCACGGACGGGTACGAGTGCCGAGGTCTCATACGGAGCTGACTTCTAGCACTACGTTGCTGCTCAGCCGCACATCGGTCCCTGCGGCATCGGCCAGGGCCGACCGCCGCGTACCCCACGCACTATTGCGTCATGATGTGCGTAGCGGCGCTGCGCCACGCGGCCTAGTTCAAGCCATGGCACCGGCTCGCGGCGCGCGGCTCGGAGCGCGGCTCTGGCCGGGCGCGGACGCCCTGCTGTTGCCAGGCGGGGCCGGCCGCCAGTCTTGGGGTAGGGGCGGGGGGGAGGGGCAGGCAGAGGGCCGGGAGGCGGAGGCTCGTCGCACTGCCGCCTGAGAGCGGTACGGGCGCGGCCGCCGCCGTCGCCGTCAGAGCCACATGTGCACCACGCCGCCGACTGGGTGGAGTGTAAAACATGCCGACAGGGAACTACTTCACACAGCTTTTTTAGTCAAGTTCAGTGACATTTCGTGTCCAGCAATTCCGCACCCGCGGCGTTAAGGCAGGAGTGCCAGCTCGCGGCTATGGAAATCACAAAGGAAAACGCAGTCTAGGGTCACCATACCGGCCTCGCGTAAATTATTAACAAAGACTGACGCCGTCCGACAACATTCCGGGGCGTATTTCTCGCTGCCATTAATTTCGGCTGAAGTATTCTGCGACTAGCATCAGACTGCTGCTGCTCAGACTGAGTAAACAAATACCTGCATGCCACATGCCATATTCCCAGAACGAGCGTGCAATTATGATACCCGACAGCAGCTTTCCGGCCCCAAAACAAACCCGGAGACCCGGACTTTCGAGATGATGCGCGCTAGCTAGCGTGCCCGCGTATACTTTTAAATTTTGTATATTACATGGCGTCAAGAAAAACGCTCCTGAAACAAATACACAGAAACTTGTCCGTTTTCACGATTGTACGGCAGGCTCGGTGGGCCCGCTCCCCGTTACGATCAGTCGCTTTCACGCATCATCATCCATAACACAGAATGCCCTCCTGTGCAGCAGCAGCAGCAGCAGCAGCAGCAGCAGCAGCAGCAGCAGCAGCAGCAGCAGCAGCAGCAGCAGCAGCAGCAGCAGCAGCAGCAGCAGCAGCAGCAGCAAGCAGCAGCAGCAGCAGCAGCAGCAGCAGCAGCAGCAGCAGCAGCATGCTGTCCTCACTGCCTACTGATCACCGGTTCACGGCCATGTCCCCGGCAGCAGCCCCGGGACTTGCCTTGCCCTTCCGACGGCATAACAGCAGGCGATACCGGAGCCCGCCGGTTTACGCCGCCCCCGGCAGCCGCCGCCGCCTCGTTACGGCCACCCTGGCCGCGATTGCGTCAGACGCGGCCAGGCGCGATCACGTGACCTCGGTCGCGGCCTTCTGATTGGCGGAGGCGAGAACACACCCCGGCGGCGGCGCTCGACGGCGGAGCGACAACGGCGGGCGAGAAAGTTACGGGGGTCGGAGCGATCAAACGCATTTTAAATCTTGTTTTTTTGGAGAGGGGTTGGGGGCCCTTGAACCAACTAAATGCTTTTCGACTCCAGCAGAAGCAGAACTGAGGAAACAATGTTATTTGGCACTTATTCGTTCGGGTGACCACGTATAACGTCATTGATTTTTGAGTTAGCACCATTATGTGGTATAAGCTTTCCATAATCCACAGAAAACCGCCGTTCCAGCGTTCAAAACGCTCCTTAAAAAAAGACGCTGCGGCATGAAGAGAAGGGCAAAGCACTGGAGGCAGGAACGCTGCCGTACAATCGATACATGTGACGTTCTACGCATTAAGTTCGAAATGCTTTTCATATGTGGAGCCAGTCAAGTTGAACCTACCTTTAAAAAAATATTAACCAGCTATTTTTATACGCACTCATCCACAGCAATGGCTTGTACAATACATGTAGATGAGACAGCGCATTCAAAACAAATAGGCGTGTCATTTCCGGGCTGATACATTACGCAGATGGTGATCGGTAGGACTGGCTCACATTCAACCTCCTGAGAGTGATCGGAAGGTCTCCCCTATCATACGCTCCATGCCCAGAATGTAAGCGGCTGCTGGGCTTGCTATGCACAGCTGTGACGCCTTATGATGCGGCGTATGTCGGCCTACCGCGCATCCAGTGGACCAACTGAACGATATCCTGCGTTCCCCTCTGACGCAGGAAATCCCCACATGGCCCTATGCAGGGCACGAGCCAATGTCAGCCGCAACAATTAACGGTCCGGGGCCTGCGGGGCCAAAGCCGGAGGTGCTCCTGCCACTTCCCAGACCGGCGCCCGGGCCGCGCGTGCGCCCGCTCCTCGCCGGGGCTCCGAGGCCACGGCCGCCGCCTGTTCCGGGGGCGGGCGGTCGACCGCGACAGGTGGAAACTTCCCGACACAGCCGGCCTCGGCCGCTGACGTCACGCGCGCACACCCCCGGCGCCGGCCAATCGGCGTGGCCCACTCACCAGCTTGGCATCGATCGTCTTGCCGCGCCGCCGGTTGTAGACGGACTTGAGCTCCTCGTACACCATGAACTGCAGTGCTCCGTGCGACACGCCCCACACGCCCGGGATGAACCCCTGCAACGTACACCCGGTCACGCCGTGCCGCACCACGAAACACTGCCACGCCGCTTCCCACACCACGGCCAAGAAATGCTGAAACCGACACAACTGCCTCCCTCAAACACCGTCACATAGGGGGTCTGGAGCGGATTTCCCACGAAGCCGCACGATGGACCACATGCAGACACCAGAACACACAGGCGAAGGACAAAGTCGCCAGTGCAAACGGAGCAAAGAAGACATCGATTTGTATGAACATTTCACTAACGTGAAATTTTGCTTGCATCACACACTCATATTCGCAAGACGGGCTTTCAAACACCTGTTTTTGTATGCCGCCGTTAAGCAGCAGTTCGAAATCCTACGTCAGTTCCTAAATGATTCCGTTCCCCACCCGGTAGATATGACCGGCCGATTAGCTAAGACGCGCATTACCACCGAAGTAGTGCTTGCAAGAGCCCCTATGACCACCCAATTAGCAAGCGGACCATTTCCCGCCAACGACTTCCATTCACACATAACGCAATCGTCTCCATCCGTCAAACGCAGAGGCATTACGTAACGCACCATATCTCAGCGCGCCAGGGCCTTCCCGGCCGCGGCGTCAGGGCGCCGTCAGCACGCGACCGACCCGTGGAGCCCGGACGGCCCACCTACGCGGGTCAATGTCGTCCTGACCCGCTGCCGCGTCGGCTGACCTTTGGCATGCCCCCATCAGTGCAGTCATCTGGGACGGTCAATACGGTTCCGGCCTAACCGCGCCAGCTGTTGGCGTCAACAGAGCCTGCCGCCACGCCGGTCGGCCTCTGGCAGGCCGCCACCTGTGCCGTGACCTGGGCAAGTCGATACCGCTCCCGCCCGAGTTCGCCGCGGTCAACAGCCCCCGGGCTGGCCCGGCGGGCACCCACCTTGTAGAGGCCGCGCACGCCCTCGTGCCGGTACGTCTTGCGGAAGGCGTCGATCATGCCGCCATACTTCTTGCTCTCGGGCAGGCTGGCGGCGTCGGACGAGTACTGCAGACACAGCCTGCAGGGATAGGGGGAGGGGAGGGGCGTGACACGCGGCTCGGGCGGACGTGACGCCGTGCAGTTTCCTGAACGCCGGTGTAACGATCGGCCCGTTCGCCGAGCCATGACCCATGCCGTTGCTTGAGGACACAGCGATGGCGTCAACACAGCCACGAATGCCATTGTCGAGTTATTTATCGACTTATGTATCTCGAGAAATGCCACGAAACAGATAACCCGAGAAACAATGTTGCCCGACACCAAATCTAAGGAGCCCGAAAAGCGCCGAGCTCACGTTCGATGTAGGTCACACCTAGCATGGCAGCTTGCGATCGGCAGCGGTGATATAATGCAGCTATTCTGTTTGCTACACCAGCATACGTAAAGAACTGGCCCTTTCTGAGAGATCGCACGACTCGTACGGGGTATTGCCGTCTAACGACAGACACCTCGAACAGGGAAAAACGACCAGGAGAAGGCTTTAACGCGGGGAAACCTAACTACCCAAACTGACTTCATCACAGATCTGCCAACCGCTGACAGATAATCGCGGCGTAAGGCTCCGTCCACGCCACCTGCCGTCTGATCGGAGGTGACCGAGTCGCTACTGACCTGGTCTTTACCACCCAAATGGGGTTGGTCAGCGCCAGGGTAGCGATGCCGGCCTGGGAGGCGGCCAGCATGTGGCGCGGTGCGCCCAGGTCGCGCCGAGAGTCGCCCTCCTGCATGTACGACTTGATGGAGCCGTAGCTGGGGAGGGTGCGCGGTCAGAGGCGGCGGGCTGCTCCGGCGCAGGCGGCACCACAGGGACACTTCAAGTTCCGAATAGGCCGTCATCGGCTGACTAACGTTAAGTGAATACCTCTACCGGTAGAGTGGATGCTTACATATGAGGCATACGAAATACACATACGACTGACGGCGGTGCCATCTTAAGCGTTCGTAAAAAAACTATCAAAGAACAACATTTGACAACATGCTGCAACGACATTTGGTGAGCCGTGCTCCAAGTTCACCATATCGAGAGCTGAGAAGCACGCACAACAAAATACATTGAACAACAGACTTTCAAAAACACAAGCATTAGCTTTTCAGCGTTGTAAGCGAGCTTCATTTTTGTGGTCTTGAGTTCGTACTGGGGACACAGGTAATAACATTGGAAGCAGGTAACATTTGGGAATTAATTGAAAACACAGGTAATAACATCAGAGACTACACCAAGCTCCATCCACGTCCAAAAGTGTGCGCTGCACCTCCTTTACGCAAACGGTCGACTCACAAGAGGAAGTAAAGGCCCCAGGCGGAGCCGGCGCCCCACACGTTGGGCGTCACGCCCCGGTACAGGCCCCGCACACCCTCCGAGCTGAAGATCGTGCCGAACGCGTTCAGCATGCCATTGTAGTGCGGTCGAGATCGGATGACGCCATCGTCAACTGGAACGGGTCGGGCAGTGAGTCCGCCGTCGGCAGCGGCCCGCGCACACACCGGTGCACACATTCGCTAATCGGCGGTTGCGTCGCCTCCGAACAGGTCAACTCGACTGGGCAAAGGATTGGAAATGTGGTTCTCGCGGACACATATTTCGATGGTCCTAGATTCGGTTTCACATCAATAACCAGTGCGCTCAGACGCCTGGCACCGTTATTTTCGGCGCCAAGCTTCGTTTTAAGGCCACGAAATGGGGAACGTTCGCACAAATAGGGTCTCCAGCAGCCAATCTTTATGGGAAAATGCACAAATCACGGCATTTGCAAGGAATACGGAACATGCAACTATTTTCGTCGAGCTGCCTGGTTTTAATTTAAAAAAATATATTTTCGTGCTAGTCCCATAAGCTTAAAAAATCATCTATCCGCCTTTTCACCACAAACCCAAACATATGTTACGCAACGATTCAAAATTTGAAAAAACTAACGTAGTGGATACAACTCATGCTACAAGAGCATTATATGATTTGCATACCTGGGCAAATGTTTATTAAGCCAAAAGTTAGCGTCGTGTAATGACCGTATTGGAGACATGTGCACAGCAAAAGCTCGTGAGATTCGTCCGAAAAGGGTCTCAAGAAAAGGCATGCATAGGTCCATATTCGGGAAGGTTTCTGCTGGATAACGTCCACAAAAGAAAAATGAGGGTACGGGTACCGGGACGTGCAGTGGGGAAGGTTTGCAAAATAGCATGCCATTGGAAAGCGTTCGTGCAAAAAATGGTCGTCCGTGCATCACGTTACACATGGCGGGGGGGGGGGGGGGGGGTGGAGTTTTAGCGACGTACAACTGAACCGTAACAAGGGATGGAGGGGATTGGAACAGCGCACGTTACCCTCAGTTGCGGTTGCAAATCGTACTGAAACCCTTGAGCAAATATTTTTAACAGGGTAGCCAGGACGGGAGCTTGACCAGCTCCCATAACCAGGACATGACCAGGGGAGGGGAAATAGCCAAAAATGTGTAGTGTTATTCATGGATCTCAAGAGCTAGGGGAGCTAGACACACCAAATGCATAGGGTGTGTTGGTCTGTATATGAACTCCCTAAGGTCAAAGTTTGAGGTTCTTAAATCATGACCTTCAGGTCAAATAAGGTCAAACCAGGACAAATTCCAGGTTGATCTCCAAAGGGTCCCTGGAGCCTAGACAACTGTTCTAAACAAAGGTTCACATGCTCACCTAAGGTCAGTAACCTAGTTTGACCTTTTGAGATCATGATGACCAAAATCACACAAGACCGCTTTGAGTTTCGCATTTGGATAAGTGACATAGATTACGCGAGGCAGTATTTTCCTAAAAAAATGCTGACCTGGGTCATTTAAGGTCAGTGACATATTCTGACCTTTAAGACATCTGTGGAAGGTGTATAATGCGGTTCCTGTTATCAACAACTTCAACATGAGCATCAGAAACTACCCCATACAAGCCCTGGAGTAATAAAGCACATTGATTTTGACCTTGGTCTGACCTTCATACCTGACCTTAGTCGATGTAATTTGTTCATTAAATTGTTGTGTTGACTACAAAAGTATCTCAGAGATGTATGGATTCGTCTAACATCCCATTCTTACATCAGATTGAATGCTTCCCTAGAAATTGACTTTGCTGAAACCATGGCCTAGCTTTGACCTGCCATAGGTTAGCAACTTTACAAGTACAGCTAAAGTTTTGATGCCAGATGATTCGCTATGAAATTGTATACAGCTATGCAAAATTTGGCCAGGCTATGTCATGGCGTTCAGACACCATCCGGGAAAAAAACCTTTGGGGATCAATTTGACCCCCACCAGAGCGCACATTAAAGCACAAATTTCATGTTAGAAACACTGCTTGATAGATGCCAGCATCATAGAAAGCTAACTATGAATAAGCTGCATTTGCATGGAGAATGCTCATTGCAGAGAGATATTGCTAGAGATTTAAATGTTACCTTATCCCTTAACAATACACTCCTGCAGATTGTTTATGTCATGAAGAGTAATTGACAGCAGGCAGGAAATTTGTTTGCTTGAACATAATTATATTAATAGAGGCTGGGCTTGAGGAGGCTGGGCTTGAGAAGGTTTTCATTCAATTTTCTGTTCAATGAGCAGAACATAAAAGTTATACATCTTCAACCATGGAACCTTACCAACACCCAAAAGGCTGCAATTTTTGCTAGTTGCCTGCAGCACTAACATTACAGCCCCCAGCATTTTAGTTGGCCTAAAATGCTGGTGCTGGTCTCATAATGCAAGTACTCCCAGGTGGTACCTGACTCTCAATGACTAATGACTATGTGGCCAGGATTTTGGGGAAAGAGTGCAGCATGAAGTCTGAATTCCTGACAAGAAATATGGCATATCAAGTATCAGTGTGTCACAGCTTTCTGCACATCTAACACAATCATATTTTTGGCATGCACAGCTCAGCCATTCTAAGAGATCAGGATTGGGCCACCTCCGGCCTACATAACTGATAAACCTATTTTCTTATTATCCATTACAGATGCTAATAGGTGTTGTTCATGCAAAAAATGCACCATTGATGATCAAATATACCTATAGCAATTCATCAGTACTACAGCTTGAATATGAGACCAGGCTTCCAGCTTTCTAGGATGGCACTAGCATTATCAATGCTGATGCTGATCAGAATTTCCAAATAGTTTTTACAACAGGGTGTTGGATACTACAGTGCTACAAGCTGCTGTTAATACAACAGTAAGTGACCAAGCCATAGGGCACATACCACTATGCTTTGAGGATACAGTAGCATCATGACATCAACATAAAGCTAATTCCATTCAAACACTAGTCAAACAGATTCTCACCTGCAAATCTTATTTTGATGAGATCCAGTGGATGAAGAATTAATGTTGAGGCAACTCCACCTGCCATCCCAGCCAACAAATGTTCATATCGGAGGGATGACAACAAACTTCTTCGAACAGGAGCCGACTTCTGTGCCTGAGCGGAAGTTCTTTCTGACATGTTGAAAAGCTAAACACCTGCAAAACTATATCACAGACTGTAGAAAGTACTCTACTTGTAGCTTGAATTAATGCAATTTATCATGAACTACCACTAGACGTAGCTTTCAGGCAGATAGTATTGCAAGGCATAGGGTGTGCAGCAGAGAAACGAGTCTTCAATTCCATCTTCACGGCTCCGAACAGCACCAGATGGCAGCTTTCTTTGACTGTGACGAGCGCTAAAAATCGTTTAGTGCGTCAATGACCGCCAAATGTTATTTCTAGACCGGGCTCTATGAGGTGAAAGAAGTCGTGCTTGTAAAAGTGAGCGCAGTGCACCAAGCCGCAGGCCTCCCGCACCACACCCGGGGACGCCCAACACGCGACTGAGGGAGCAACTGTCGACAGCCACCACTCCTCGTCTTCAAACCGCCAAAGCTGACTGCAAAAATCAGCTGACAGTAATCAGCTGGCTTTCCCTAATTCACTGCACCCTTTTGCTGTTGTCAGCGAGTTGCATTTTTTATCGTGCTTGTGATGTTCTCCGTTGTTTATCAAACAAAAAGAAACATTGCAGAACACCCATGGTGTTGTAAGTTGAAATCATGAGGCTGATTACCGCGGGCGAGTTTTTTTTTTAAAACTTGACTTGGGTTCAATGATCTTACCATTTGAACACCCATCTGGCCGTAGATGTTGGTACGTTGACACTTGAAATCACCATAACGTTTACCGTAAACACCCTGACTCCACCAGTGGCAAAGCCAAGGGGGCGTTTGGTGCCACGCCCCCCTCCCCCCCCCCCGTCATGGAGTTGGCTGGGATCCGGCAGGAGAGTTGGATTGGCGGGGAGCACGTGGGCTTGAGGCCGTAGTACTTTTTGGATACCTAGTGCTAAGTTCAGACGCCCATGGAACTTCTAAAGCATGACGCAGGTCCTCAAGGCGTTAAAATTGGATAATGGGCTTGAAAAGATGTCGATTTTGAGGACCGGGACCCTCTCAGCGTACATACCGACGCCTGGCTGACGCCGGGACCGCGTCGGATCGTCGACTCATGGTCGGTGCTGACACGTGAATTTCGGTTTGACGTCGGCCTGACGCCGGAGACATATATATATATATATATATATATATATATATATATATATATATATATATATGTAAGATATCTTCCCGACGTCGACGATATAACACCTAGCTGAAATATGCCAGGCATCGGGAATCCGACATCAGCTATACGCCTCCCCGTCGTCGGCCCGTTTTAGGCCATCCGACATAGGCACGACATCGGTCACGCGACATCTTCTCGACATTCAGCAGGCATCATTTATCCGACGCCGGCTTTACATCTAACCGACGCTGACCAAACCGCAGGCAATAACCCTAGATCCTCTAGACGTGGGGCCGGTGCCGATTCTGCGACACCGGACGCACATCGATGGAACGTAAGACCAAATTGACAAAACCAGCTTAGAGAATTGCCACAAATAGGTCCACAGATATGTGGGGCACGAGGGTAACCATTCTGGGTTATTTCTCTCCCGTCAACGTTCATAGGCCCAGAGCTAAATTTTCAGGAAGTTGAAGAGACGACCAGACATTAAGCGTCGCACGCGCGATGCAGACTCCACCATTGGCCATTTTAATGCTGCTTGCATCGGCCCGCGAAACTCCGCCATAAACTAACGCGGTCGCTCCTGGCTGGTCCTTTCGGCCAACGCGGACCACGCCCGCATCGAAGCCCGTCCGCTCAGCACCCGCGCCGTCTCGTCGTCGGTGATGTGCTGGCCCGCGGAGGCCCGCAGATGGCCTCTCTAGAGACCTGGTCCGGAAAAAGTCTCCAAAGATCTGGTCCGGAGATATCCTCTCCAGAGAAAGCCTCCGCGCGCAATGCCCGTGATGATTTTCTTTGGGCAATGGCTATACTCGGTTAGAGGCCATAGTGTTTCATTATCACCTCGATTCTTTGCATGCATATCAGCGTGCCAACAATGTTCGCTTCCAGTTTGCATCATGGTCCTTATTGTGGGCCGTAAGTTCGAGATGTGCTATCCCAAGATGGTGTATAGCTTGGTGTATACCTTCACCAATGTTTGACAAAGCCACCCCTGCGTAACTTTTGTTTATTACCCGATCTATTCTTCTCCTCAAAGGTGACTGCAGGCATTCCACAACATGCCAAACGCAACAGTTGTATAAAAGACGCACCAGATAAAAGGCCCGAAAATCCCCTTCTATCAGGTAGTTGGGTCGACTATTGCCCCAGACATTATGCACCTCCTCGAGCCGGCTGTGCAGCGAGGACGGTCGTGCCGCGCCAGCCCGGCCGGCTGGGGGCGCCGCCGGCGGCGGGCGTCCTGAGGAGAGTGACTACCGCCGGGTCCGGTCACTCAGAAGCGCGACCCAGCCGAGCGGTGAACGCTGAAACGAGCCCGGCCGTCAGTGACGCTCACGCGTGGCCATGGCGTCAACACTGGCTGTGTCGGAGACAGACACTAGCCCGGACATGGTCACCGGGCGTCTGCCGGCGACTGGAACCGCGGCCACGACACGGTCACTTGGTCACGTGGTATGTCCCAATGCCAAAAACGACATGGTCATCGGGCATGCGTCAACGTCACTGACTCAACACAGCCACAAAGGTTGGACCAGCGACATTGCATCCCACAGCGACCACTGCATGACTAAAAGCGCCGCACAGCGACCCCATCCGATCACTGAGCACCTGCCAGCGTTAACATTCAGGTACGGTCGCTGGTCGCGTCTTAGTGTCGAAAGCATGCACGCACTGGTCGCATCAGTCGTGTCGTGGGGAAGATGTGTCCACATTGGTTTTGCCGTGTCGCAGTATCGCAGTGCGCGAGCGTCGTTCGTAGCAGGTACGGGGTTTAATCCAGCCAACAGACCCAGCGTTGGGCGTAGGATTTTGCGAAGCGGTTTTGTCCATAGCAGGGTCGACTTGGAGCAAGGTATGTGCCAGTACTCGGTGCCACACACTCTGGCCTGATCGGGTCATTGGACGTGCCAAGGCCTTACTCACTCACCATCTGGCCCCAAAGCAAGATATAACCACGAAGTAAATTCAGGTGATAGCCTGGTATCCCAGGAATTCACTGACATTCGGTTTGATCGCTCGAGATCAACCATCGATACAACAAATTGGGTTATCCTCAACGCCTCGGAGAAAACATGAAAAATACAACTTAACAGAGTCTAACACAACAAAAAAGACACCATTTGCGGCTATTGCGCACCTTTAACTGCATTTGCTGTACAAACTGTCCCAGGAGCCTTCCAAGATGACGTCAAGGCCAAGCGACCTGACGCGACCTTGGAGCAAAGCTGTTTGAAAAACAAGCGCGACGAAAGTACGGCCAATGGCGCTAAACTGTGGCGCCGCCAGCTGTCGCTTCTCCGTGGCGCCGGAAACCCTGGTCGGGTGGTGGCTGCCCGGCGCCCGGCGGGGACAGCTGTGGCCTGACACGCACACAGTCCATGGTGCGTAGTCGCTGTGTAACGGTAGCGTCACATACTGACACGGTCAATGCGTCACGCTCAGTGTCACACACGGCAGTCACTGGATCCGTGTCAGCGTCACGCGGCACAACTTCGCGTCAGATAACGACAGAAAGTGCAGCGCGCAGGCGTCACCCAGCGGCGCGTGGGGGTCTGACGCCTTCGACAGCCTGCCACAGGTACAACACTCCAACCCCAGTGTAATGCGCCCGCAGATAGCGACAGCCTTTACGCGAGAGCAAGCTAGCGACGAAACGATACGTGTGCAACCATGCTTTTAAGACATAAGGTTGCCGTAAAATCAAGGGGTGAAGTCAGGCTATGAGCTAGAGACAAATCAGGATTTCAGCCTTCAAAATGTAATCATGGGAAAGCCTGACCTGAAGATGATATTCTACATGAGAAAACGTAAAAAGCGTGCATTCTACGGGCAAAATTGAGGCAAAAAACGCATTCTGATAAAATTGGAGACCGTATTCCCCAGTAGTTACACACACAGTTCAGTCTACTACCTAGATCACAAGGAAAAAGGACAGCGTCAGTGAAAACGAAAGCAATTCTAACATCCCTTGGCTTAACAATTGATTTCGCAAGTAAAACATGTGTATTTGGACGGTGAACTAGAACGCGGCCGCATTTGGAAGGCAAGATGAGTGTTTCACAGTGCGCTTGTCACCAGTGCTTATGCTGCAGACAATGTAATAATAGCCCCTGTACGCTATGTGATATGTAGTGTCTGCATAAATTGGGTTCATGCATCCTAACCGGGCACAATTTAGAGTTTGCTTGGCTGTGCCAAAAGGGCATTTGCCAGCGATAGGTCGTTTAATGCCAACAGCGCCAAAACGCATTGCCAGCCATAGGTCGATTAGTACCACCAGCAGCTGTATTGGGTAAGTGTAGTACCCCAAAGCTCGGTAAAAGCCAACTAGCACAAGGCTGGAAATCTCACGAAACAGCTTGGGATCGGGGAAAACTCTCACACGGCCAAATAACCAGCCATCACATTCCATGACAACTCCATCTCGTGGACATTGCCCTAGCTGATAGTAGGTGGTACAGATGACGTTGTAGTCCAGACCGAACCACTCTTCATTGGGTCCGTTTGATGGCGATAATGCAAACACACCCTATGAAGAGTAGTTCAAATGCGTGAGAATATTTCAATAGTGAACTTTTTCTACTATTCCACTAGTGAAACGCCAATGACAGTGAACAGTCCGCCCGGAAATCCAAGATGTTTGGCACTGCTACACTTGACAGTCGGTCCAAGCTGATCAGCTCAGACGGTCTAGTGGGGCTGACAGAGCCTGGATCTACATTTCAGACAAGTGACATCGCCATGCTCGATGTAAACCCGCGCCTGTGCAAGTTTCCTGCACCGGAAGCTGAACGCTGACTCTTTCGCCCCGAAGACAAACACTTGGACTAGCTGCTGACGAACGAGCCCGGCCATGGTCACGGGACGAAGCTAACAACAGCCAGTGGCTACACAAGCTTACAGGTGACAACACACGACGCTCTACACCGAACTAGCGATTAGTGGTGTTGGTAAGTACCCACGAACACCACCCAGGGACGTCCACGGAAACCCA